AAGGAATTCGCTGGATCTAGGAAAGAAATCGGTCGATTCTAGGAAAAAGGAACCAAGCTCAACTAGGTAATTGGTGCATCCGCTTGAGTACATACTTGAGACGACTCAAATCAAGAAAATTGCAAGGCGAACTTCAGTGTTTCTGCTCTCTAAGCAATCTAGCAGCTTCTTCTGCCCCCTCTGCCGCATCAGCTGCGCACAGCCGTTTTGCTGATCAAGTGCGGAAAACCGAGAAAAAAGCGTGTCTTCTCAAAGAGCTAACGCAGTCAGGAGGCATCACGAAAACGACGTTGTCTGTAAAGGCAAAAGCGACACTGACGGGATTCAATTATGACGCTCGCAACAGAGTATTATAACTAAGAGAGATCATCGCTTGCTATTGCTCAGTCGTCGATGTCTAAGGGTTTCTCACCCTAATTGGGTTCGAATCCTGCTCGTCCTCGATGTTTACTAGTGCTGCTTCATACTTATTAGAGCAGTGTTACATTAATTACTATCTAATGAGCACGACTTCAATCTAGACTCTACGTCCAGCAGTAACATATCTTCATCACCCTCATTATCGTCTAATTCAGTGCAGGACTGGCGACTCTCGGAGCTGACATTCACATCCTTTTGCCGACTAGCTCAGCTGCTGAAGCAAAGAGCGGCTATACGAAATACCATCTTCTGATCCTATGGTTTCCTCATCGAAAACTGAAAATGACCGAGTTACAGACTGAAATAAGGTGCGAGGTAGCTCTGACAGGGCTACTCTTCCTTGTTCAGTATCTCGCTTATAATTTTCAGTAGTTACTCGCTTATTTCAGTTTATCGATGAATATTTATCTAATCGGAGAGTTGATAAAGACGCAATTTTCCGTGTATGGCGAAATGAAGGAGATCAAGGAGATTGCGCACTTCGTCAAGGAGAACATGGACGAGACGCAAGGCAAGCAGCTCTTAAACGAAGTAGAGCATTTTGATAGAATTTATGGAAAGGTCAATGGTCACGATGGATGAATGAATTTGAATGTAATGACTGGAGCGCGAGGATGAATGAATGTAAACGAACTGTCGTAGGGTTATTCGTTGTGATTTAAGTAGGATACCGACAAAGGAATGGTCCGCTCCCTAGTATTATCCGAGATATTGATTACACCTTCTCGTTCTCGATCTCGGCCGAATGTATGCGGTGATCTATGTCTATCAGTACCAATCTCTAATTTTCGGTCGACCGATTTGCTGGGGTAATGGCAGATTTAGGACTGTGGACGTTCATGCTGAAGGCGCGCGAGTTTGACACGTCCGGTGCGGACCTTATTTTCTTAGACCCACTTACTGGAGCAGTTGGCGAGATAAGTCGAAAATTCCTGCATGATAGCAATTATGACTGGGTTTCGATTTCAGTACTAGCGTGTTGCTTGTGTTAGGGTTGGTCTTGAACCTAGGAAAAAGGGGCCTCTAGACAATCGCAATTATGATGCGCTTGAATATAAGCCATCTGCTCTTTTCTCTCTAAGTTACAGGAAACAAGCTCGATTTGGTCGCACCTGCGCGAGTAGACGATCCAGAGGCGAAAAAGCTTCTCATAGACACAATCACCACTGTTCTACGACAGCTTACTGGAGAAGATCAGACAGATTCGCAGCAAGAGACCTGACATTTTTGAGCAATACTGCTGCTGGCAGTGTTTGAAGCGTATAATACTATGGGTTTGCGGAAGGCGACAACTCTAGCAGGACCTTAAGTGAAGGCGTAGTCGAGGCAACCTACCTTATCGTCATCCTATCCTAACTTTTGTTTTTTTCACAGATTCTTTTTCGTGAAGTAAGCACGTACAGCTACAAACATGTAGAGCTTTTTTCCCCATATTACATATGATCATACATGATGCCGTAGAACATCCACTCGTAGTTCTTTTGTGTGTTTCGAAATTCTCGTGCGACCTGCATTTTCGCCACCAAATTGTTGACGTTGAGACATTAACTACTACTACATGATGTTGTAGAAAAAACTGCAGAAACGAGGAATTGTGGTATAGTAAGACGAAAGAGGTTTCACACCAGGAACACTTGTGGTTAAGCTCCTCGCAGACATTGGAGCTCATCAAGTGTTCGCGTGCAGTATCAGCAACAATTTTTGACTTCATTGTGAGCTCTTGCATTTCGCTTCGTCTATTCAGTCGTAACGCTGGCTTGCTAGTCATGGGACGAAAATGCTGATACAGAACAGTCAACAATGCTCTTCGGTGTCTTGTGGAAAGTAGTACCAGCCTATCGGTCTACAGATACGTCCAAGAAATAGACTCTCTTCGGTACTCCTAGATCGAGATCTGCAAATCAATGAGTCGCAAATCTGTCTCAAGAAATCGGTAGGAATTGAGTGAAGAAACCACCTGAGTAGTTCTATTCCCGGCCTAAAGTCCTCTCCGCAGAAGGTGATTCTCGTCCCCGTCACTACTTCGTGTATTGTGCGAAAAAGAAAATCATGCATATGCCAACACACCAGAATCTACCACACCATCTTCACATGAAGTTAGATGATTATGGTCGTTTCTACCACATAATATTCTTCATATTTTTTTCTGAGCGTATTCAAGTATTATCCAAAATATACCACAGAAAGGCGTGCTAGGTGGTAGTAGCAGTATGTGGTAGTTGGCGTAATTTCCAGTTCCACTCACAAAGGAAGGGTAACGTATCTCGTTCGCTAACTACTAGGTCACGGAGAAAAACAAAAAGAGATATCTTCCTCGTCATGTTCAACATCTCGTAGTTGTATAAACGTTGCTTCCTATTCGGAATAGGACCGCCCACGTGCTCAAGGACCGTCTGTCTCCGACGTGCCGATCCCGATTCCGAACTTACTTCTAAAAGTGGGAACCAGACATCAACCAGATGCCTGGTCAAGGAGGTGGTGCGAGCAGTAGTGGTAGCAGCCCCACCGGTGGAAATGGTGGCTCATCTTCGCAGCAACAATTCTACTGCGCTGTCTGCCAAACACCACTCGATGACGCGTTGATACTGCTGTGCAACCACAATTTGTGCCTCAACTGTGCGGGAAAGAACCTGTATAACAAAACCTACGATCCTGCAAGCGGAAAGAACGTCAAACTAACATGCACGATATGTCGAACAGCGACTACGGTGGATGCAGAATCGGCGGCGCACCTCATCCAAGCATATTACGATGACAGTGGTGGGGCGTCAACAGTTATGAACAGAAAGGTTACTTAAACACATCTATCAGAATACTGGATCTACAATTCTTGACCATTGTAACAATTCTCACAGGGGATGCTGATGCTTGCAGCTTCTCTGGCAGGGAGATCGACTCTAGCGATATACTTTAGAATAGTCGTCAGGGAAATCTTAGACTGCAGATTGCCGAATAGCAATAGATTCGCATCATCATCAGGCTCAATCTCATTGGCTTTGATTCTTCTACTTCTTTTACTTCTTTTTCTGCTTGGACAATGCGGTTTCTACCTCTTTTCCTTCTTGGACAGTACAAACACTGTGATCTATCTAAAGACTAGAATCTAGTTGGTCAGTAACCTCAAATCAAATTTACTTGTCGTGAGGGAAGCTTCAACAATTGCTTTTCTAACACTAGAGTAGGAGGTTCGGGGACAACGACTATGGGCGGTGCGACATCGTCGTCAGCGAAGCCCTACGTGTATCGCAACGCTGAAGGAGAAGCTCTGCTGGAAGAGGATGTTGGGGAGGAGCCGGCTATGCCCTTTAGCGATACTAGGAAAAGTGATGTCTCGAATCCGGTGAGAACTTCCAGTAGGCCTAGCAGACGGTCAAGCACGAAAGGACAAGACGCGCCGTTGGCGGGTGGAGGAGGTACACCAACGTTGATCACGCACGTAAGGTGGTCTAACTTCTCTAAATTATGTAGTAGTAGTATAAAGATGATAAAAGACGTCACTAGTTACTAGTTAGAGTTACGCATTCAGATCAACAGAAACACCAGTTAGAGTTACGCATTCAGCAGTACTCCCCCCCTTTCTTTCAGATGTTGAGGACGATGGCGGTGGGGCTCCTCTCGGTGATAGCAGAGTTAGGTCAGGTATAGCGAGCGTGACGTCTTTCTGCCCTAGTCATCCGGAGGAGCCGTTGCACTATTTCTGGTATCTACAGTTTGAGTTTCAGTTTGATATTGATTTGATCGTTTTGGATTTCGGAGAGTTGTACGGAGTTTTAGTTGAGTTTTTTCACGTCGATCATGAGCTGTGACTGTCTGAAGATCTGCAACAGGATCTGCTTCAATGTTTTTTAACTGAAGTGCGTTGAGTAAGGACCACGACACTCGATATCTAATATTATAACTGTTCCTGGCACTGGCACTGGCATTACTATTTTTACATCCTCTACAACTTAACGCCATACCCATAAAAATCAGCCTCTATCCTCTTAACTACGCCATAAAAATCAGCCTCGATTGCGAGTGTAAGTGCATCTGTAGCGAATGCGTGATTCATGGCGCGCACAAGGGACACGAGGTTCTCTCAGTGACTAAGGCATATCCGTTGTTGCAATCTAAAGTTTCAAGCTTAAACGTGGAAATGCGGGAAAGGGTAGCGGAATTAAACTCAATATCGCAGGGGTGGGAGCGGAAACAGCGTGAAATTTATGATTTCTGATGAAAGCGACTGTCGTATGTTGAGTTGTGAAAGTATCTGTCAAGAACGAGACTCTAACAAGGGAACAGGTCAAGAAAGAAATTAGATTTACTGTAGAACAAGAACTACCAAGTAGTACGGAGAACCAGAAAGACAAGTACTCGGCAAAATAAGGAGCCATGTTCCTATCATGAAAACAGTGGGATTCAAATTCAATGGACAGCAAGCAGCTGACGGGTATAAATTCGATAACAGTGAACCACGACGAGGACGAACATACTCATCCCGTTACCAGCATTTTTCCAATTGATAGAGATATACCAAACACAGCAACCTTCTTCGGAAACTGACACGATTTAGTTCCACAAGCCCGAGCCCGTCCTCTTCTTCTAACAATAGCTGCAAGTCCAGGAGCAGATGAAACAGAAGCTGACTGAGAGTTTTGCGGAGATAAGGAAGACCTTACAAACGAAGGAGGTTGAGATGAAGAAAATGATGACTGAGGGTCTTAGGGACGGCCTCAACTTTGCTGAAAGTACTTACTTATACTTTAGGTGGAATGTGAATGATAGGTGCGTGCATTATTGCGTACCGAAAATTTACCTGTAGTAGAAGAAATGACCACAGAAATTTAGGTCCTTTGGCTTTTTAGAGACAACATACAATGAAAAACACTCTTGCACTGACTACACAAGACCGATCTCAATTCTTTAACTTTCTTCAATCTCAAAATCTAAAGAATCTAAAAAATTTCTAAAACACGACTCGTCCATCCATCATCTACACCCCGCTTCACCAAACAAAACAGCTAAGCAAAACGAGGTGAGAGAGTCAACACAGCGAATGAAGGATGCCCAAAAGGCGATGCAGCACAACACTAGCCATGCAAGCGTCAGCATGCAAAGTGCGATTGATGCATTGAATTGGTACCTACTTTATAAATAAATATAACATTGTAAAGTCGTTCTAGGCTTTTGAACGAGAAGCTATAATATGTTGAACGTCGACCGTCGAGAATGTCTAGACTAGAATCTGATCGAAATCCATTTTTTGAATTTTCTATCTTCATCCACCACTCCTTTACCAGGTATGCCGAAGCGCGTTTATCGTTGAACCAACTCCTAGTCACGGATCTCCCTGTCCCCACTGAGAGCTCTAAACCGAAAGAGTGGCTTGAGAAATATGCCGATGACGCTATCTCAAGAGTATCCGCACTGCATAACAAAGTGCAATTGCTGCACTGATCGTGATCGGGATGGGTGGAAGTGTAGAAGCATATGCTGCCATAGGCATAGTCATCCGGTGTAAAAAGAATACGTTTGAGAATCTATATCTAAATCATTTAACACCTACAACTGTAGGGTCCAAAATTACTTAGCAGACTAATTTTGAACCGACATACTTAATAGCGATGTTACCAACAACATGCTAAATAACACCTTCATACACAGTAAAACACTTTCGAAGAAACTGACGAAACATGTAAGAACATGATAAGATTATATCGATGAAAAGTAATGCACAAAAAGTCAAAGTTTAAGTTGCCTATCATGCACAAGAAAACGATTCTTACCATATTTATAGGCATACGCATAGTATGCCATGAAATTAAATCCATACATAGGAAGCGTGTCCGCAACTTCCTCACGTTTTACCTCGATTCCTGTTCGTCGGTAGGTGATCCTTCATCTATTCTTCAATATTCTAGTTGATAACCTCACCTTGCAAAAAACTCTTGTCATAATGCCTTCGTTGGAGGATAAAGTATTGTCCGTCTGACGGTCATAGTATGAGCAAATAAGTGGTGAGCGTCAAAGTCCCTGTATGCCTCCCGAAAGCAATATCACGTACGAGCCGGCCTATGGTTTTGTAGAATTTTTGGTAGTTTTCTAAAAAATCTAAATTTTCTAAAATTTCATGAACCGTGCATTCGAAGAGACCTACCAGCTTGTAAAGAACCCGTACGTGTGTTGCGCAACCCTGCGCTCAATAAAGCTGCCTGATTCTGGAAAAATTTTATAGTTGACTGACGAAATGAGGTCTAGCAGTCTCATCGAGTCGGTTGTCCTGTACTGCCACGGGAGGACCGGTTTAAATTATCGAATCGGTTAGAAAGATTCAGACTTCGCCTCGATCGGTTCAGAGAGCCTGGATCGTCTCGGGTTAAGTACCGTGGAACGGTCTGGCATCTAAATCGTGGTTTGTGGACTTTAGTCGGCCGAAACGGTACTCGCAGTCTGTCGCAATCGGTAAGTGAACGTCACATAAATTTGGAAAATCTGAAGAAAAATTTAAATTTCGTAGAGATTCCAAGAAACGGTCTCATTGTAGTGCATCTAGTTCTACTCGGTCGCTCGGTTTTGGTTGCTTCGCTTTCGGTTGAGCGTATTATCAAAACCTTGTCAAATGCTCGGTCTTTCTTAAAGAAGAGTTTGCGTTAGTTTCATACACGTTTCATGATATCGGGAACTAATAATTCTAAAAAATCTAAAGATGCTAGTCTGCATTCCCATTCCCACGATGAATCCAAGTAGCGCAGCCAAGAAAACAGTCATTCTCATTTGTGTAGTTAGTCCACCGCGTCGTGCTCGTTGAGCACGGCGTAGTTGTTTGTGATTGTGGGGGGACTCGTCTATGAAAGTAGTTCTTTGTTTTTAAAAGGACATTGAAGTCCTAGATATCGAAATCCCTGGTGCCATTATCGTGCAGAATATTTTTAGTGAGGAGAGTCTTCTGCCGATTTTCGACTCTGCAGCGAACGTCAGCGACTTCCTGAGCGTATAGCAACGACTAGAGAGCAGACTTGTGACCAAGATGTCCGCAGCTGCGACAGGAACCGCGCCAGCGGACGCGGCCGCATCTAAAGACCACAATGCGTCGCAGTCTCTTTTTATGGCGACGCCGTAAAAACTTCATAATGTTCATTCTCGTCATAGCATCTGCCCATTTTCTCGCCATTAAGGTGAGCTTGGACTTACACTTCGTAAAACTTCTTCTGTGTCCTATGCAAGTCCAGGCTCAGCCACAGTCTTGATAACGAGAAGAAGAAGACGCGACGACCACGACCTTTGCTACGTCACCTTAATATCTCTCTCTAATCCCTCCTTCGACCTTTCTGGACACGGGGCTTCCCAAGAAGAAGGTGGGAAAAGTACGCTCGATGGCGCGCAGATTGAGATGGAGGAAAGTTTCGATGGAATCGGCGATACTCTCCAAGAATTTCGGGAATTTGTCATTATGGTGGTTTAGTGCTGCTAGATCAGACACGACTAGCTGTAGCACGATGAGGACACGAATAAGGACAAGAAAACCTTGATGGGGCAAGACAAAAAAACCGAAATTTATATTTCTTAGAGGAACAATAGGAATAGTTGGGAGACCACTGACTACAATCTAGCACGCAAGAGTAGCAGGCAGAACTAGAAGGCGCCAGGAAAATCATAGGCAGTTCGCCGAATAGATTCGCATCATCGTACTTTTTAGGAGAGTTTTGGTTTTTCGAAACATTTTCGACAGAGTCAGAAAATACCACGAAGAATAAAGCCACCGCTAACTCCTAAACCCAGAAAAGCGGAATGCTCCTGACGGAGTACTGGAGAAGCTACATCGACACCGGAGGCAAGGGTAAGATCTCTATTTCCGAATTCTGCGAACGACTACGAGCTGTCGGATACCAGAAAGTCAACAGCTTGCGAGGATGCATTATCAAAGCAAGGATAGAGCGGATAACGGAAACTTACGAATTGGGGGATGCGATCACCTCTCTTGAAGTGGAATTACTCCTCAGTTTGTAGCCTTTGCTTTTAGATTTAGTTTTTTTGAATTTCTTAGCTTTTTGAATCCCCTCATCTTGTTCTTGTCAATGTTTCTGACCGAAGTCGAGTTGGTACCTTCCCGAAATTGAAGATGAAGAGGTTAGTTTTCTAAGAGCCAACCGCTGCGGTAGCACAGTTCGAGCGGAAAGCAGTTGGCGGCGCAAACAGAAGCCCCACTAGCAGTCCACTGAAACGTAAATCTTTCTTAGCTCATTTTTAGATTTAGAAAATACAAATACCAATGTCAAACCCATGAGAAATCTAGAAAATCATTATAACAAACACGACAATTTCAAGTAATATCCAACTCCCCAACAGTCGGTCCCGGCACTGCCGCCACGTGGTCCGAGTGGCGTCCCGGGAGCCAAAACGCCCCAGCCATCATCCAGAAGGCGGAATCGGATGCCCTAACTTTGAAAGATATCGATGGCAAAGCTTTCGTCTTTCTAGGAAAGTTTATGTTCAAGATTGTGCGGAAGGTTTTGGTGAACCATGAACCCGAACTAGACTGGCACTACATCGGGAAGAAAGCAGGGGAGACGTGGCGAGACAAGAAACATCCCCTAGATGGGATTGTTTTCTCAGAAAAACCGCCAACGCCAGCGGAAGGAGGAGAGGTACAGTAGTTACAAAGGATATAGAATTTTTGAATTTTTAGAACGATGACTTAGACTAACAGATGACGAAGATCGAGTGTGCTTCGTCTAGTAGTAGAAGTGCTGCTTCAACACGCTCATCATCATATACTTTTCTCCTACTATCCTTACTTTTTCTTCCTAGTTAGCTTGGCTCCACCTATATTAATAGTGTAGAAAATCTAAATCAGCGCATCATCTTCATGTTGTAAGTAAAAGTAAGAAGATCAACATAGTACCCTTTTCTCGTACAACTACATCATACGCGTTTTTTCTCTTAAACCATCTACATCAGGCGACCGAAGGTGGCAAGGGAAAGAAGGATAAGAAAGGCAAGAAGGGATCCAAAGGAAAACCCGGGATAGAGGAGGCTGCCGCAGCCCCTGCTGAGGGCGAGGCGGAGAAAACGTTAAGGCATGATTTTCATCATCAACTGTTTGAGTTTGTGGTGTTATCTCAATCTCTTCAAAAACTGTCCACAAGCACAACGAAGATCTAGAGAGAGGAAATCTAAATCATGCTGGTGATTGCATACTATAGAAGGTGAACTCTTCTAGAAGGATGTTCGTCTAGTTGTTCGCTTCTCTAAGCCCAGGATCGAAGGAGATCGAGGACAAAGCCCCCACCGCAGAGGAGATTACCGCAAGACGACGCCATGAAGCTGATCAACAGAGTCTGGAGGGTCTCGAGACCTACCGATCGATGCCAAGGAAGCGCACCATCGATCTTTTGCAGGAGACGTTTTTTGCGCGTGACCGGGACACCTTCAAAATCCGCATTGACGAGTTTGAGGAAACGTGTGTGGCGTTATTACACGCGGAAGCAGGACATTTTCACGGAGACGATAGGGAAATCAAGATGGCCAGTACTAATAAAAGGCCTTCTATGTTAATACTGTTTCGATTTTCATCCAGCACATTCATCGTTGATCATTGTCTTTTTCATGGAGTTGTACGTTCTTGTAAGTCAAAATCTAATCTGGCACGGCTAGTTCAAACGGTCCTTGTCCTCAACAACATCACTCTCCGGACCACGTTACTACAGCCGCTCGCCTCAAGAAGGAGATCAAGCAGTTACGACGAGAGGCGCGGTCCGCGTTTCCACTATTGTTGAGAAAGAAGCAATTCGGAAACACGCTGATGCAGGACGATCTAGAATTCGGCTTTCAAGTGATGGAGATGGAAAATCCGAAGCATATGCTGCTGGAGGAGTTCAATTTGCAGGATGTCCCCGTCTCTCTGCGAAGTCCTAGAATGGTTGGTCTCAAAAGCACGACATCGACAAGGGAGACGTTGCGTGAGACCAGGGCATTGTTGGACTTGAGGAAAGCGAGTCCTCGGTACCTGATCGATGTAGTTTTTTTTGGAATTTCCGCATCCGCTCGAGCTGCTCGTGATTGTGATGACTGCACTTAGACTTACATTTATTTTTTGTGATCAAGAATTCGTTATAGTAGTTAGGCATTTCATAGTTTTTTCAACTACCCTATCTAAAATGCAATCATTAAAAAACTCTCATGAGGTTCCTTTCTCCCACTGGTGATCCTCGGCTCGCAGCCTATCAGAATGACGGCTTCTCGAATTTGATGAAGGATGTGAAGCTCTGGAAGACGAAGTTGCGAAAGAAATTTGGCAATTTGACCAAAGCCTATACTCAACTTTTCGCAACTGCCTGTCAGAAATGGAAGGAAGCCAAGGATAAGGACGACGCCGAGCGTGCGGCCAAAGGAGGCCGTCCGAAAACCGAGAATGCAGCGGCAGCCAAATCCGCCAGTCTAAAGGCTGCTCTGATGTCAGTCGGGAAGGAAAACACGCGAGTAATCTTCGAAAAACCGCCTAATCTATTTTATGACTCCCGGGAAAAACGAGCTTTATCCATAACCTACTTATCTAAAACCAAATAGTACTTGTTCCACCCTAGGCGTTGTCCTTGTAGACGGTGATAGCAGCCTCTAATCTCAGCCGCACATCTTGGAGCTTTCGTGTTTCGAGTTCTGCTATATGTGCGGTGATATCTTCAAGAAGATGGAAGAAAATGGGAGGTTGAACCTGGCAGCGATCTATTTCGCCCTTTTGTGGGAGGAAGTTCCGCCTAGCATGGTACAACTACAACTATACTCGCTGTCACTTAACACTTTTTATGAGCTCTTTCTTTTGCCTTAGGATAATTGTAGTTCATCTAGTTGTACAACTGTTAAACTTCAATGGAAATTGCAAGTTCTTGCTATGTCTAGAATCTCTCACAAATCTAAATGAACCTTCAGGTCTACAACCCCTTTTCCCGGCAAGGCCCTCAGTTGACAGAGTGGGTCATGCAGCTAGGGAGGGGCGCAAATGATCCCGAAGAACCTGAACCGGACGCCCCTGAAGGAGATGGCGGCGCAGCTGAGAATAAAGAAGGAGGGGATAGACCTGGTATTGATACTGCATGATTGTACTTACTTGAGATGAAGTATTGCAGCTTTTCCTGAGGAAGCTCTTCTGAGGTGGAGGCTCAGGTAGTCTGCTGTTGTTGTAGTAGTTAATACAGGATGAAACATGTTGCCTTCGAAGAAGTAGTGAAACGCAAAATCAACGTCTCCTTTCCCTCACATCATTCAATTTCACACAAGAACATCATTATCAGATATCACCGTAGCGGAGGCTGAGGCTGCTGCTGCCGCAAAAAAGGCTGCCGCTGACGCCCTCAAGCCTCCATGGGAAAGACAGATGTCCCGCATGCTCTTGAAGCATTTTGATTCCGAATCGTACGCAATGCTAGTGGAGTTCCAGAAGTGTCTGGCCCGTCGCTACGGACACGTGGGCAAGGCCATGATCGCACTGGATGAGCAGTTCGACTCCTTTCGCCTCGATTTCAAGGAGTTTCACGAATTGTGCTTTTCCGTCAACTACTTGGGCAACACGAGGACGTTGTTTGCGTACATGGATTGTACCCATACCGGGTTCGCAAGGGTCGATGTCGTCGATATGCGATTGGCAAAACTTATGGCTTCAATGACTTAAGTACTTTGGACTTGGAGTCAATGAATATGAAGTACAAGTACTTAGAATTAGGCGACTTTGGACAATTCAATGAAGTTGTACAAGTAGAATTAGGCGCGCCGGTGTTATCGGATATTAACTTTTATCCTGTGCTGTGTTCCTTCTAGAGAAGATTAGAAGTGGATCCTGTTCCTAGAGCCGTAGACGATTTGTTAAACTTTGTACCACACGACCCCTTTGTGTTTGTTCTAAACCACAAGTCTTCGGCGAAGAGTATCTCGATTACAAGACCCAGAACGAGATGACGTGGTTGCAACTGCGAGAAAAGACGAGGAAACTGAAGGACCAGGTGGAACGTTTTGCGTCGAACAAGAAGCTGGACTACTACTCACAGTTCAAACTCTACGTCCGCAAGCGTGGTCTCGGCAACATTTCCCGTGTCTGGCGCAAATACCTGGACACCAACGGTCAGGGGAGCGTCAGTTTCGAGCAGTTTTCACATGGATGTACTGCAATCGGGTACCAGGGCAACACCAGGACGCTGTTCTGGGCCATTGGAAGAGGAAAAGACATGATCACGATCGATGACATGGAACCGGAACTCGTGGAAGACTTCACCGCCTATGTGCGAGCATGCAAACGGTCTTCGGGGAGTGTATTGAAGGTGCTGCAGAATCTGGGATTCCGGAATATCGATGAACCAGTGAAGAAAAGTTCATGGCGGAAGCAGATTAGGGCTTTAAAATTCATGGTTTTGATGGAGACAAAGCCAGTGAACGACACTGATTCTGATGCGGATTTAGGCGGTCACGGGGAAGGAGCTGAAACCGACGGAGAAACGTCCAAAAAAAGCGGATCGACTACGAAGATTATGGAGAAGGAACTGTACTAGTACTACCACTAGAACTAAATTGCAACGAGTACAGGTGGAAAATTTTTTTCCAAAGACGAGGGAGTGAGGTAAGTCCCGCCATTATTTTTTCTGGTTTTCAGGAATAACTGTGTTCTGTAACTACTTAAGCAAGAACATGAGGACAGACATAGACAATTAGATAAAAATGCGCAGTTGATGACGATGACGCTGAGTCTCTTCTAATGAAAGCGGCACTGCTGGCGGCGACACAAAGTCGGCTTCTGGATCGGAAAAGAGCAAGGGCTCCGCGAAGAAGGCGCCTTCGAATGCGTCACAGCAACTTGCAGGCGAAGGATTCGAGATGGTCGAGCGAGATGGCAGATTCTACATGTATCTCTTCGAACACTTGGATATCTTCGAAGAAAAACGTATCTTTCCAGACGATTTGCTAGCCCTGGAGAAGCTAGTGAAGGGCAACTTCACTCTAGGCGATATCTATGCGGAACGAACCCGGGCTTTGCGGGAAAGACAGCAGAAAGTGCGAGAGGTTGCGCATTCAAGACGGAACCTGATGTTATGAAGGAGAGACCAGTACACTATCTTCAATCTAAAAAGTAATTCGCAGAACGCAGTTTTTCATGAACAATTCCGAATCGTCCTTGAATGCAGCATGAGAATTATTCTCCAGATTTCTGTAGGTGGCATGCACAGAGGAACACTTCACCTACGAGTTTGCCGCATCTGTATGTCTCGTCTGATCGCAGCATCGTCCTCTAACACGCGAAGAGCAGATCGAACATCAACGGCTCATTCAGGGTTTGCGCAGTACACGCACGAACGGCAAAGCACAAGTAGAGAAACTATTCATCAAGATGGAGCGGAGCTGTGGGTCTATCCTGCGAGCATGGTTTCTCTTCTTTGACCCCGACAATGCCGGACTGTGTACCTTCGAGAAATTCGCGGAAGTGGTGAAGCAGAAATTCACGATGCTTGTCACCACAGAGATGTGGACATTTTTGGACTACGCGAGACAAGGTACTACACGACACGACAATAGACGAATTAAATGAAGCAGCTATTTTGTACTACACGACACGACAATGAATACGAATTTAATGAAGCTGTCCTCTTTAGATTCAATCATGACCTTATTTGAGTAGATGTTCCTAAGTCAACCACGATAACAACTCCCGCCAGGTTATCTCACTCTAGAGAATTTTGATCCCGATGCGAAGAACCAGTTGAGCATCTTCGTAGAGCGATTGCACGTGCGATACGGCAGTACACGTCAGGCCTTCATGCACATCATCCTGCAATGTGGTGGCGTGAACGTAGACTTCGAACAATTTCGGGAGTTGTGCCGGGAAGTCCGGTATGACGGAAATCCAAGACGACTTTTTACATTAAGGCTAGAAGTTTTTGTTTGTTGTAGACTAGATCGATCGTGTTACTTCCACCTGTTGCTCTTTATATTCTTGACCACCCTGTAGAAAATTACTCCAAGAGGTCAAAGAAGCACCAATAGGTGGTCAAAAATGACAACAACAGCAAAAAAAGATCATCTACACTACGACTACGTAGACCAAGAGAAGAATATTAACTGCTTCTAATCACCTACCTAGACCGGGAAATTAGTGGTTACGTGCACTTGTCCAGTATTGACCAACTAGCGGTGTTGAAAGCCTTGGAGAAATTGACCAAAACTGCAGAAGGCGAGCACCTGGCCACTTGGTATCAGACCAGAACAGGAGGTGGAGGCGCAATGGGAGGAGGTGGCGCGAAAGATGGTGGCGCTTCACAAGAAGTCCAGGACAACCCAGATACGGATTCGCCGCGTCTAGCAGGAATGCGATCTTTTGCTTCACCGGAGAAGACAGTGCGCGGCGCAGGTGGCGTGCAGATCGGTACAGGAAGAGCGACGTCCTCTTCATCCGGAAAGGATCCTCAGAAGATGGCAATCGTCAACTCCTTCAAAGACAAACTGCTAGGCAAATACCATTCCCTCACCTACGGTTGGCGTATGCTTTTTGGGGGTAACAACGAAGTTCAGTGGATAGAATTTCATCACGCGATAAAGAACCTGGTGAACGTAGAGTACGTTGGCGACTACACAGACGCGCAGACGGAGATTCATGGCCCGATCGACCCGGTTGATCCTCTGATAGAACAGAGGATGCGGCAAAAACACGAGGAAACAGAAGCAGCGAGACAAGAAGCGGTGAAGAAATATCTGAAATTATGCGAAACAGATGCAGACTTACTAATAAATTTGTAAAAGTGTTCTTAGTAGTTACTAGTGCCTCTTCCCTTCTGCAACATCAAGATCAACAACTCGTCTCACCGTAATATTGCTGAACCAGTGGCACCAACTTGCTTGAATACTGAGGCTTATCTATGATGTATGCTTTCGTATGCTAATTCTTGAGCTATGGAACGGCCTCCATTTTGCGGGGTACGTGAGGCATCCACCACCGCCACCGGTAAGTGCAGAAAATGCAAACCCGGACGCTGGCACGCGACGGCCGCCAGGCCACAGACCAAAACCGCAGTTGAAGTTAGAGCTCTTCGATCCCGATCTGGCAGGGATGATCCGAGACTTCAAAGCAGCTGTAGAGGGTCGCTACGGCACCTTCGCCAACCTGTTCACTCAAGTGTGTTTCGCAGACTGCCAGGTGCCTCTAGACTGCGAGCAAGAACGATACTTAAGGTCTCACTACAATTCATTTCCACCAGAGGTCATTTTCTCCTGTTTCCTTCTCAGAAATGAAGGGAAGAAGTGAATTGCTTTGAGCTCTAAGATACTGGACGCGGGAGGAGTTCAAAGTGCTGTGCGACGAGATCTCGTATCCACGGAATCCACGAGTGTTGTTTTACTACTTCAGCATCGACTGTAAGCATCTGTACTGTCGAAATTTAGATTACTCGGAATACGACTCGGCGAAGGAAACGCTCCAGAAAAAATTGGAGAAAGACATGGAGAACAACAGCAAACACACCTCGACAAGACCTGGAGGATTGGTTACCACGGGAGGCTTCCCAAGTGCGACAACTGGTCGAAGTGTGATGTCATTATCGGGTACTATGAGGCCGAACTCGTTGAACGATAGCACTTACGACTTCAATCTGAACACCCACCGGTCCTCAACATCGCCGAACTTGCCTGGTGGGCAACTCATGTTAAGGGAAAAAGTTTTGTAGTCCTCGCGTAACATGATGTCGAGAACTTTGACATTGATGTAGATGGAACAAGACGAAGAAATTAGCAAGATCTTTGGATTTTGATCGGCACCAGAGAGGACATCAGCACAACATCTTTAGCACTATCATGATGCTTTGTATATCATAATTTGCAATTTATTTGAACTCGTACATCCTCGTTTATCCACCAATCATATCAGACCACAAGCCACTACCACTCGCTCCTTGTTCTAACCATCCCCGATTTGAGGATACTGCAGAATTTTATCGACTTTCTACTACGCAAAAGCGACCAGAACCTTCTGCTAGGGTGGATTCGATTTCTGGATCCAAAACAAAGAGGTAAACTCGACTACAAGGAATTCAGCGACAATGTAACTGCGCTCGCTATGGCAAGAGAATTTTCCTGTTCAAGATAGTGAGGCATCTACCGCTAAAGTAGGTTTCCTTCGTTATTAAGTTCACATGTTGTAATTCATGATGGGCACAAGATCAAGATGGAACCAAATACAAATGATCTAGTACTCCGATAAAATCTACTCTAACCTGAGTTTCCAGGGAAATCTGCAGCAGCTTTGGCGAGAGATATTCTTGCGGCTCGACTTTTTTTCCTTCGTCGGCGAACAAGAAGCACCACATAAGGCCTACAAGGACACCCGATTCATCACTTTCGACAAGTTAGATCCCTATCACTTTCTCCTGATAGAAGCCTTCCGAAAACCACTTGCGACGAAATACAAGACAGCACAGGTAATACGAATACTACTATATTCGAGTGTCGAAGATGAATAACTCATTTGAGATTGATTGAGTTATTCTTCAACTTTCTTGCAGAAGCTGTAATTATATGGACTAATATAATGGATACTCATTACTCAATTAAAATATCAGGTAGCCTTCGAGGACTTGGAGTATGGTATAGATGATTTTTTCCTTCTGTGTCAAGAGTTGCAAGTCCGAGTAAGCTGCCGGATTCCAGCGCCTCCTGCTTTCCTGCCTAGACAAGAAGACGATCTCCCTGCGATGAAGGGGAACGCAGATCCGCTGCAGAGAGACCATTTCTACGCTTGGTGCCAGAATCTCATGCTGAAGCAGCCCCGGAGGATAACAAGAGGACAAGCGGACTATCTGTTTCAATACCTGAATTTGCGGAAGCAGGAGAAGATCAGCACAACAGAAGTGCGATTTCTCGATGGCTGGTGGAAGAAACCTGTGCGCAAGAAACGAAGTGCGGCACTCGATATGAGGGTACAGCGAGATCCAAGACGCGCGATTGAGGCAATGAAAGCATACAAAGCTGCCGAAGAGTTGAAGATTGCTGCTAAGAAAGCAGCTGCCGAAGCTCGTGGCGAGTCGCCCTTTCTACACAGCAAACCATTCAACGTGGGAAAAAGCGATTCCAGTATACTGGATGATCTCAATTATGAAGGAGACGTACTAAAAAACGTATAATATTGTTGATTACAGAAGCAGCACGGAGAGTTAGAAGAGTAGTTGTAGTTGTACTACTAGTAGTGGTTGTAATTCAACACCTAACAGGGTCGTAACTACCCTCGTATCATACTTCTGGTTCTGCGATAGGATTTGATTATATCACTCTCATTTAACAGATTCAGATTCAACATCCTTCTAATCTTACAATATTGTATACATTTAACAGATTAGATTCTTAGTCCGAACTCTCTTTTGGTTCTTACATTTAACAGATTCAGATTCATCATCATCTTAATTGCAATTTGTGGCTCTTCAGGATCCTTCTAATCCTTGATCAATACATCGCGTACTTTCGCTCACGAGGGAGGCTATGTGGAGAAGAACCTGCTGACGTCGATCGATCTGCGGTCCAATTGGAATCCGAGGCATAATGTTTTGGATACGGATCAGAACCGGCAGCAACAAATGCTCTACGAAATGATCCACGTGGAACGAGCAAGCGATTTGATGTTACGATTTTTACAGGAAGATGATTTGGTGGCTCTAGTTTCTAGCTCATGAAGATAAAAGAGGTTATAGTAACAGTAACATACATAGTAACAGTAACAGAAGCTTCAGCCGTGTCAGATGCTGATTTAGATTTTGAAGAGGCACGGCGTCTTTAGATTCATCTGTAGAATTCACTAAAGTAAGTAGAAGATGTAGAACTTCTTTAATGTGAAATGCTACTCGTGGTCACGGGTACACGTGCAACATAAATATCTCATTACCCCCCATGGCATGTCAACAGCTTCCCGATATTCAGGACTCAGCATCCTCTAACTCACAAAGCGAAGGTGCAGAAAAAAGTTTCGCAGATACCTCTGGTTTCGTGGATGCAGGCACAGATGGCGAACAAGAAAGCCTCCAAGGACAAAATCGATCGTCTCCAGCCACGTCCGCCACCTATCAATAAGTTAAGGCGAAGTCTTCTATTAGATCTATTAGAGGTTAGGTAGTCTACTAGAGGGTAGTTGTTCATGTGAGATAAGCTCATAATTTCTTCATCATCATTTCATTTATTAGAGGGGAGTTGTTCATTTATTCCCGCGTTCTTTCATTTATGAAAATGTGAATTAGGAAAAAGACAAGATCAAGATGAAAAGGGTGAGATAAGCTCATACTTTCTTCAGTGAGCAGCATCTTTCTTTTTCGGCTCTAGAACTCTGAAGTAATCATCGAGTACTCAAAAAGAATAGTGCACTCTCTCTAAGTACGGATACGAAAAGCAAAAGCTTGCTGCCGAACGCACACGAGCTTCCGCCTGCCTTTTAGCGAGTATCAACTTGTTCTATAGCTGAGCACGCACCCATTGGTCCGCATGAAGTTTTATTGTTTAACCCCCTGTACACGTATAGAATATCACGTCTTGGTTTGTTGGATTTCGAATATATCATTATGATGTGCATATTTTCAAGTCTTCTTCATCTTACATACAGAATTGTTCAAAGTGACGTCTCCATCGCATAGAAAACGTACAATTTAAATAGAGGCTCTATGCCTATTTGCCCAGTATATATCAGCAAAACCTGTAAAAACAGTATTAAAACCAGTATTAAAATTCTTGCCAATGTTCCAACTTGTTCTTATTGCTTTTTGTTCTGACGACGACCTTAACCTAGTAAACGAGCTTGTTTTTCGGATATAGATTATATTGAAATTGACCCTCCTTGAATAGAAGAAGGTACTACTCCAACCTAGTAGCTAGTGGAAATTGAAAATGCATGAATGTTCTTATGTCGAGGAGAAAGCGTGTGGTCGTCCCTTGATGAATCTATTGAAAAAATGCCCTCTCATTAAGGTGGATTCGGACTCAATTCCACAATGTTAAATGTATGATGAATAAACGTAAACGAACCTATGATCCAGAATTACTGTAACAACTCACTATTACCTTCTAAGTAAACGAATGATCTATGTTCCTGTCCTCTTACTGCTGTTCTGTCGCTGTGTTGTACTATCGCATTCATTGCTGAGCTGCTGTTTATTCCCTGAAGATTTGCTGAAGAAGAAAAACTCCTTTGAATATTTGATGTCATCTGCAGAGTGTCGTGTGTTACAGTAAAGAACCTATTCCAATTATACACGAAATGAAAATATGCGATGGTGTTGTAGGTGTCGTCTTCTAAGCAATGGCTGTGTTGTTGTTGTTGTAGGTGTTGTATTCTAGTTCTAGTACCTTCTAGTACTACTACTCGAGGAATATCAGAAGAAGAAAACGTAGTGGTAGTTAGTTTACTGAAAATTAGCAGAAGATAGCTAGCTTGTTTTTTATGCACGGAAGATCTAGCAAGACAGAAGGCAGAAGTGGGAGATTCGAAAGAACCAATAGATGCAACACCCTTCACGGTCGGAGGATGAAGATCTAAAAGATGGCAACATGTGATGTTGAGAGCAATGTCCTGCAGTGGAAATTATACTAGGCGCGAGTAAAACTAAAAAGGATACAGTTTTGGAAAACCAAAGTGAGAGTAAGAAAAAGTCGCTTGAGAGTGAGTTGAAGGGTGTGCTTTTGAAATTGCTGCTTTCGCAAACGATAGAAAGCGAACTTGAAAAAGACAGGTCTCGCATTCCATCAATCATCATCTAGCAGTAGTTGTGGAACAATTACGTACTGTGTTTTGTCGTTGTCTTTATGAGTATCTTTAGTATGTTCTCTGTTAGTTTGGCATACTTCTAGCTACGTTACGGTTTCCGAGTTGTGTGCTGGTTTCTTTTCGTCTATTTGTTTGTTTCGTTGGGTTACCACCTAGAAGCAGTTCAAAACCTACCAACATAATTTATTACTACTAACTCCGAACGCGAACACCAGGACAATAGTACTAGAAGTTGAGGTTCAGTGAATCTGAACGATATTGAGAAGTAACAGGTTGGTATTGTAGAAGTAGAAGAACTCTTTCCAAAAATGTTGATGCAGCATATTGGCCGATTGTGCGTCGCTATGGCGCCATTGGGCGTCGTGGCCCATTACCAAGGACAGCTCATTGGCCACAAACGGGGAGCCTTGTCACCTTATGAAGGTATGAATATGTAGTATGAGGTCCGCCGAGCATGAGGTGCGCTGTTCCCACGTATCGTCTCAGGACGTGGTGGCGCAGTCACTGCAGCCGCGAGCCCGGTCAACGTTGGTTAACGCATTAGGTTTTCGCAGCGATTGCCGTCGTGCTTAATCGTTTGCGTAGTTTTAGATGCCTAGCCGTCGTGCTTCATGCTTTTCGCGGGGTGGAAGTAAATAAGTAGGCGAGAATTGTCGACCCAGGTAACAAAAAATTATCGGGGAGGCCCCCTGATTGAATGGATAAGTGTAGTAGTTGTACACTGCAGTAATAACAAGTGGAAGTTGTAATAAAAGCTAGTAGTTTTGTTTTTTTTGGTTTGATATGTACACTAGCTACTTTTTGAAATTGAACAATCACGTTCATCTTTTAACGATCATCTTCTTCTCTTTCTCATCTTCTAACGTAATTCGAGTTTCGTGGATCCGTCCTTGATTGCTGCGAGTATGCGACAAAGTCAAGGTCCTGCCTATATAACTGGTAACGCTGGTGATACCGATAAGAAGACCTACAACGTTTCCACTCCGAACCATTTCGTTGTATGAAAAAGGGACTAACTAAGTATTGAAATTGTGTTTCTTTTTCCTTTTCCATCCTTGCTGTGAAAATATTCGATAAAAAGGATGATCGATTGTAGCAAATAAGCTTGTCCTTTAGATAGAAGAACATGATCGCATGAAGAAAATCTAAATCCTATCCTATCGTAAAAGTAAATGAAAATCCTTTTATCAACATCCTTTCTTGATAAAAAAAAATCGAAAAATATTTCCCACTCTTGATTCCTCGAATTGAATTCTAGTAGTAGTACTTCTATTGTCCTCTCTTATTGCTGCAATATGCGGGTCAAAATTGCGGCCTCGGTGACGACCTTTCGGTGTACATGCCTGGAGGCAATGCCACGCAGAACCTCGTCACCCTCTTCAACGCAACCGACAGCGAGGTCGATCATCTGTTATGAGAAAAGCGTAAAGGTTGTCCTTGTCAAGTACTGTGCAGTTCCTGCTCGATCAAGGACTTTCGTATAACAAAAGTATAATTTTTGTGATCAGAAAGGGCCTCCTTGATAAAACCCGAATGTAATCTCAACCTCCTCCCATTCCTTGAAGACAGAAATAAGCTCAATGAAGACCCTCCGATGTCAATAAGATTGAACTTATTTTCTTACATCAATCAAGCAATCGATGAATCCACTATCGATGTCTTTCATACTCGACAAAATGTGCACGCAAATGTGCTCAGTTTGATACGGATGGGGTGAATGGATGCGGCGGTTTCGTGTACGAAAAAGAAGCCGTCACAGGCACAGGTGCAAAACTCACTGGAGTGCAGTTATGATGGACAAAGTCAAAGGTGCTAGTTCTTATAAGTGAGGGTGAGGGTGAGACAGTAGATAAACGTAAGATTTGATAGGGATAGGTAGTTAGCACCAGTCGTGATATGAAGATGTAGATTTAAATATTTATAAGATTTGATAGGAATAGGTAGTTGACATTGATAGATAAGAAGTTGACAGTGATAAGAAGTTGACATTGTCAATTGTTATTCCGATTAGAAATGGGTCTCTCAACCCCGGTTCGAGTACGCTGTGCCTCTCTCCGCCTCCTTCTAAGCCTCGGTTCGTGTACGCTGCGCAGGGGACCGATAAACATGACCGCATGTAGTGGCGAAGCCTCAGCTCACACCTACACGCGCATGCAAGCGGAGGTCACTTTCTCGTAGTTAAGGCTGAATCCATCTTCCACTGCCTGTTAGTTAAGACTAACAAATCCATCTTCCACTTCTTGCGGATAGTTAAGACTGCGTGTTAGAGTTGCCGCAACTTGTACTGCGGCACGTTTGTCAGGCTCTTCAGCAGCCGCTTAAGTCTACCACATCGGATGGTAGGCCCCAACCTAACCTAACCATCTTCCACTTGCGGAGCAACATCAATCTTGGTCCTCCCGTCTTTTTTTCAAAGGAGGGAGATAAAAGATTTAACGGGAAACTTGGTCCTCCCGTATTTTTTGAAGCGAGTAATTCAACTAATAAACGCGACAAGTAGGTGGGAGGACCAAGATGCTGATTCCCAATATGGATTTGCGGATGTTCTAAGTTTGGACTCATCTTTGAGTAGTAGTGAAGAAAGTAGCAGTGACGAGTCTCTTCACAGAGAAAGACGGCTCTTCTAGAGGACGGGAGGAGGAGAAGGTGGAGTAACTACAAAAGGCCAAGCCAATGGGCAACAGATGAACATTTTTCTCAGACAAGTCAAGACTGTAAAAAGCTATTACACAACAGGTGGAACGGTTACAAATACAATTTCATCTTCCTACAACTTCTAGGGACCCGCACTACAACAAACATCAAGAACTAATAGATATATGTGAGTAAGATGACTAAGACTATGTAAGACCACTGCACTCGTTTCGTTGTTGTTTCCGTTTCCATCGCGATTATCTCCGTTCTTTCATTCGAACTATTTACTTTGTCTTTGGCTCCAAGTCCAAGGAAGTGATAAGTATTACGACACCAGTATTCGTAGAATTTGTGCAGATTTTCAGTCATTTTTGTTTCAACAGTCATTTTTCCAATCAGTTTCGATTCAACGCACAAGAGCAAGAACCAAGAAGTTGTTTCGGGTGCTAGAAATAATGAACAAGAAGACGAAGACCTAAAATTTGTCTAGAACTAGAAAAAGTTGTACAAGATCATAAAGTCATGTTGTACAGATACGAGAACAGACGATGACGATGAGCCGGACTTCATACTAGACAGGGAAGAAGATGAACAAGAAGAAAAACATGGATATTAACAATCAGGATCATTCAAGTTCATCAACATCACACATAATTATACGAAATCGTCATTAAGAATCAGAAAGAGCGGCTCAAGAAGTTGCGTCGCTCCTCTATCTACTCACCTTCTTCCCTACTCACCTCCTGGAGCATATGAGGGATTGGGAATCCCGAAAAGCAAGCAGATCCTAACAATTCAAAGCTGACACTCAAAGCGTGGGAGCAACTTCGTGAGGACGCAAATTCTTGACTAACGACAGAGAGTCGTTGTCACGGAGTGAAACAGCCAATGAGCTGCTTGGTCCCCAGGTTTTCTGTGTTAATTTTGGGGTTTTGTGTTTGAGCTGAGCAGGTTTTGTAGAAAATTTAGATTCCATCTGATCTTTTGACTTCGTTTTACCGTTTTAGATGTCTAGAAAATTTATATTTTTTAGGTTTTTCGTTTCGACTGTCTGACTTGCCACTGGAATACAAATACCGTGGATACCTGTCATGAATCCTAAGTGCTTCCCGAATCTATCTTCGAAAAAAACACTCCTTAGACGTAGAAAGAGTGGAGAGTACACACTCCTCTCTAAAACGCTCCTTGGCTTGGCCTTCAACTCGTTCAAGAAGTTAGGTACAATTTACTGTCCGTTCAGTAGATAAAAAACTAGTACTAGTAGTTTTAGTACTGTGACTGACTGACTGCTATCTATTGTGACTGACCTCAGTCCTCCAGTTTCTTCCTCGCAGCAGTGTGCATATACCACTGCTCCGTACCTCCACGGTGCACTCCTCCATCACAGCGCCACTTGTTCTGAACAAAAAGCCACTACGACAAGTAGCTACTGCCACCCCAGCTGGTGCGCTGGCCCTTTGGCTGAAGACTTTGAATTTGATTGCTCGCGAGACACAGAGGACTCGCGAAATGAAGCTGTCCGTTTCGTCCGCTTTCTTGGCGGTTTTCCTCCAGGCGTCCAGACACTTCTTCGCGACTGCGACTTATCTTCATACTTATGGCTAAAAGTTTTAGGATTTCAAAAATGTACTTTCAAAAGACCAAGAAGTCTTTCTGGAATGACCTTTGTTCTTCGTTCGCGTTCCCCGTGAAAGATTTTGTTTTCTTGCATACTTTTCCTTCCACACGTAATTATCACGCATAAATTGAGTCTCTACCCTGCAAAAACTACACTCTTGCACTGTCCCACCTCTCAACTACTAGGTTAACTACTACTGCCAATACATACTGCCACCACCTGTTCTAACATGCGCTCGCGCAACCGAAGGGAACGTCGTCCTTATGAATTGGATCTTTTTTCAAAGAGCAATTAATTTTGTAACTGACTTTTCGAACCAGAATTATGTTTAAGCAATTACGTTACCGTTAGCGTTACCCGTGACCTATATTTTTTCAGTGATAGCTACGTGGATCATGACGATGTTGAGATACAACTTCATCGACTATGTATTGTCATCCTGTTCTCGTGTTTCGAGAGTACTTGTTTAGTTAAGGAAACTATTGAAGGCTGATAAATCCGCTATCGTCTATTAACGCAACAACATTACTGTCATCATGATCTACTTGTCCTTTCAGTTTCTTTTTTGTTGGTCATGATCAACTGAACAATGGTATTATTTGCCAGTCGACGACAGGAGGTTTTTCATTATTTGCCAGGAGCCGACGGAATTTGAAAAGCAACTACTTCTTGGAGACGAAGCGATCTGCGACTGCAGGTGAACCATCCTTGGATGGCGATAACATGGGCAAGCCTTTCCGCATCCGATATGTTCCTCCGGGTGGGGTGGCAAACGCCTCTGAGCCCCTTAATCATTATGGAGGGCTCCTCACATCGGTACTCTATCTGTCGCCTTCCCTGGCGCCCTCTCTCCTCTCTCTCTCTCCCCCTGTGTGTGCGTTCTGATTATTTACTTTCCTAGTTCTTTGTAGGGCGGTTAGTTCTTTGTCCTTTGATTAGTCGCCATCTAGTCCATTCGCATCATTATGGAGGGCTGGTGGGTAAGGATAACCGTCACAAGATATAATAGGTAAATCAACTGGATAATCAATACGGTTTCTGCTTGTGCTGAAAATTGAATAAGTTTTTCGGCAACTCATCATAATCCGCATCCATGCGCAAGAGCTGCTCTTGCGAGATAATTGATTCGGTTGAGTAAGATAGATGAATCAACGGAGTGGGCAGTCAGAATATGAATAGGAGAATACACGGGACGCAGACCCCTGTTGACTGATTCTCGTACAAACGCACTTGCAGGCCTGATAGAGCGACCACGCACACTACATTTCGTGAAAGAGTACGCACCTCAGTACTTCCTCACCAGTCCAGTAGCACGTTGATCTTTTCATACTGTCTGCCGGATACTCAACAAGAAATTTATGCGCCACATCGAAGACGATGATGTCAAAGTCAACTTATATATATGATATAATAATGATTATAGATAAGAATGAAAATATTGATAATTTTTACAACGAACTGATTTTTGATTTTACAGCATAATGATAATCTATAATATAATAGATCGGACACCTGGTCTATGTAGGTCCTCTTTTTGTTTTTTGAAGCACAAAAATCTTTTCGGTCTGTGTTTGTACTAGAAGAATGTGAAGGCCTTCAAGGCCTTGAGCTCCACTCTCACCATACTGAATCCTTTCAAATTATTCACTCTGATTGCTTAATTCACGAACAAAGAACGTTCAGGTGCTCATTCTCATTTGAGAAGATGTTTTTTCCCTTCATTGATATTGTTTGTGACAAAGACGCATCGGATCTCCTCAGCGGAGCGGCGACCGATCTGGACGAAATCACGTGGGAGATGACAGACGCATATCTAGTGAATAATCAAGATTTCAACTCTGCATACTGGGACTGGAGGCATAAGGGGCAGCTGCGGTACAAGAAGGGAGGCCTTTGGCTTCAGAATACAAACGGGACGGTCGATGAAGACGGGGAGAGGCCGCTTAAAGTTGGGGATCCGATAGTATCAACGACCCATGCAGACAGATCCATGCAGATACAAACTAGACAAGTACCCAGAACGGCAACCTCGCCACCCAGAATGGGGGTTTTGTTACGGCTAGTGCCGGAAAATTGCCAACATTAGAGCTAATTTAATCTCCAAGAAAATGGCTTCATCTTCACATAAGTATCCAGCGCACCCTAGGTTGAGCTTTTCTCCGCGTCCGGCTCTGAAGTTAGGTAGCGGCGCGCTGAAGTTCGGTTGCTGGGTACAGTCATGCAAATTTTGGAGCTGAGAGGCCACTTGCGTTTCTTCCTGTCCTCGTAGCGTTAACGCCCACCACTCTGCGCGCATCACCATCATCAACACCAACATCATCGTCATGAACAGACTGAGTCCATTGGCATTGCCCAGGCTCGTTCTCATCGAAAAAAAATTATATATGTTCCAGGGCTCAGGGCTGAAGACCCCCCCAATCTAAATTCTTGACGGGGGGCCCCAGCCCCGGACCCTTTCTCCGAGGGGCTGCCGGGCGAGAAGGCCTCGAAGCGCCCACCTCTGACCCCTTCCCGCTCCTCGCCTCGACCCTACAGCGCCACCATGCCGGAGGCTGTTGAAGCACTGAAGGGCGGACTTGGAAGGCTTCCGAATGTGGCAAAGGTGGCAAGGCTGGACCCCCTTGGCGTGTTGCTTGTACCCTCAAGGCTGGACCCCTTTGGCGTGTTGCGTGTGCCCTACAGACCTGCCGAAGGTCGCAAGGCTGGACCCCCTTGGCGTATTGCATGATGTACCCTACAGACCAGGCGAAGGCGGCAGGGCGGGGCCCCCGCCTTGGCGTGTTGCGTGTACCCTACAGAGAGACCTGCCGAAGGTCGCAAGGCTGGACCCCCTTGGCGTATTGCATGATGTACCCTACGGACCTGGCGAAGGCGGCAGGGCTGGGCCCCCGCCTTGGCGTGTTGCGTGTACCCTACAGACCTGGCGAAGGTGGCAAGGCTGGACCCCCTTGGCGTGTTGTGTCCTTGCATGTATCTGGCAGACCTTGGGGCGCCTCCTCTCTTTCGGCTCTTTTGGCCGTTCTCTTCCCCCGGGCTTAGGGCGTGGACCCCCAAATCTTGGTAGTGTGTTGCGCCTCCGACACGGCAGCGTCGCGAGGAAGCTGCGGGCTTGTTGTTTTCGGTTCTCAGCAGAGTGGGCGAAGCACTGCGCCCGCCTTCCCCCACTGTGATACGCTAGAGGCGAGGCCACCGCGCCACGGGTGGGCGCTTCTCGTCCCTCGTTCTGCTCTCGTCCCTCGTTCTCCTCTCCTCGCTCGTCCTGCTCTCGTCGCTCTTCCACCACTGTGCCGCACCACCACCACAGACCATACCACAGGGGGGGGGCCTCGCTCCCTGGTACATATATAGACATTGGCGCGGTGACTGTTTTTCTAACATATATTAACCTTGCGGGGGGAGGAGCCTCGATGCGTAGCTCATGGAGGGCGCCTGACGAGCCAAGGGCCGCTGAATCTTCGTGGCTCTGGTTTTCGACGCCACAGTCAGATGGATCGCTTAATTAAGGATTGCCTCCTCACATAGTTCCATTTCGCAAGGGTTGCCCTAGCACTCTTTCGTTGCTCCCTTCTTCCTGGTGTATGAGAGAGACATGATACACGATGAAAGATGTGAGGACATGGAAGCCACTAATCCATGTGGGTGTCACCCGCAGAATATACGGCTGGAAATGCTGCTATGTTCGAGCTCATTCCGATTCCGCTCAAATGCAAGTACTGTTAAGAGAAATCCATATCCATTGTTCATGTCGCTGTCTGAGAAGTTGGTGGATCCACCTAGATGGTCATGGACTTGGACGTCGCACATCAATCATTTATTACCCTAGAAGATGAATACGTATACGGCGCGCCGACAACGAATGACTCAGCCTGATGCGTTTTTCTTTGAAGATATTTCCCACGTTTTTTCTTGAACCGAGCAAGGACGGCATATCCATATTCTTGTCAAACAACTTGCGAGACTTTACTTCACCCCGCTCCCTCATTTTCACAATGCGTGGATCCTCTTCGCTTCCTCATCAAGCACAAAAATTATACGCGCGCATTCTCATTGTTTCTTGCTTAGCTCTAATAGTTGCAGGGAGCATGCCCAGCCGGCAAAATGGTGAATCGCAACACAGTGTGCGGTACTGCGAATGACGTCAATGCGTGCGATGTTGCGACTTGCTGCGAAGATGGTACAACGCCAGAACCGAACGAAGTGTATACAATTATGCTCATCAAAGTACATTCTTAATCATCCGGCAGTGCTTGTTGCTGGCACATTTTGATTTGTCTTTTCGGAAATCACGATACAATGAAAATATGCGACATCATGATGTAGACCGACACCAAGCAGAGATCTGTATAGCGTCAATACTGTAGCTGAAGTGGCGAGCTAACCGTATTTCGGTTTTATTACAGCTAGGCGGACTTCTTGTTCTCACTTGTTAAATCAACTAGAATAGGTACTATCGTACAGCTGGAACTGTACAAAGGATAGTACAATGTGACCATACTTTAAGTAAGAGTACCCAATTAATGCCTGTAATTCTTGGCTCTTATCTCCTGCTTACCCGTTATTGTTCTCACTTTCTGTTGTGGTTGTGCAAGCAGCAAGTAGAAAAAAAGTGAATTTCCGTTTGTCCTTGAATGGTCTAAGATTTTCCGTTACGTTCACTCAGACTCGGGGGCAGCAGCCGCAGGAGCAGGGTTTAACGCAACCGATGTGTGTGGATCGAACCCGGTTATGGCGCCAAGTCAAAGAACTAGCTCTTTCTTATCAACCACTTAGTGTGCAGCATTTTTCCTCCTCCTAGACCGACGGACCTAGAACAAACACCTAAATGTGATTTACCAGTCAACAGCAACAGCTTGCGTGTGTACTCGCGCATTAGCCTCGGTTACTAACTAGTAGCCATGATATTGTACCTATGTCTTGGCCTTACACTGAAAAAAGTACCGAGTCACCAAATAGATCATGTTCATTATTTCTGTGACCTTCAAGTAGGTAATTAAGTATTCAATTCTTTGTGGAAATGTTCATTTTTCCTAGGAGTTATGCTTATGGACGAAGCTACTGTCCTCGAGCTCGCTGATGAAATACTTATGACAGAAAAATAAGCACTAGCCGGAGAAATTTGCACAGTACCTCGATGCCATTTGAGGCCGAGGGCTTTGCCTATCCCTATAGCCGTGCAGGTAATATGGACCAAGGAAACAACCAAGCGGAAACCCCCTGGCGCGCCTGGGAGTCCGCAAGCAGCGCAGGGAGCCACGCTAGGGAAGGGCCCGAGGTGCCTCTTCTGTGTACTTATTTGACGCTGGTGGCGCTGCCTGCTCCTGGTTAAAGATGGGCGGCGCTTTTTCTAAAATGTGTCGCTACGTACGGGGTTGCCAGATGTCGACAGGAGGCGCCGGCATCTGGTGTTGTGCGACCCATTTTGCGGGGCGCAAAATGAGCCAGAAGCCAAGGCACTGAAGCTTAAAAACGTGCCTGGCAGCTTTGCAGCCACAGGGCTAGGAAATAGGTCGCGCCCAAACACTGATCGCCGAAACCCACTAGAAACCGGCCCAAAAAAGTGTCCCGCACTTGGTCGCGATAGGTGTCGCGAAAAGTGACACCTGGAACACTTCTGGCGAGGCCGCCGGGCCCAGCCACCCAGAAGCCAAGCTCGCACCAATTTGGCCCAAAGTCAGCTACCCTCGTCGGGGGCTTTGTAGCTGAACAGCAACGCCCACGGCACAGCTTGAAGCATCACCCTGAAACACCATCAGCGAAAGCGCAAAACACCGGAGCCCCCGGGGCTGCTGTCATGGCAGCCACTGGCAGCTCATGCGACTATTAGCACCAGCCTAATGCGTCCTCCCCTGGTCGGTGGCCTTAGGCGACGGCCGAGCTTACAAAATTCTACGACTACTACTTATTTTTCTCTCATACATAGTATTGACATTTACAGACAAGAAACATGTTAGCCATAGTCGTGATGTCTCTCTCATTTGATCTTATGCAGAGCCGCGATTGTATTGCCGCAATGCTGCAGATGCCTTTACCAGGGGTGCTGCGGACTATCAGTGGATGACAAAGACCGGCTTATACGACCACTCGCCTTCCATCCGCTTCGAAATGTATGGTGGGATCTATTATTTGTATGTAAAAGCATGACTACTCGTATGATGTGGTAAAACTCGTTATCAGGAAGAAGCTCCGAATGAGATGAAAGAGTAAACTGGAAGCAACACGCACGTTCTTCGAAGGACGTGACCCTTGCTAAAAGACGCACAACATCTTCAAGAACTGGTCCTTATTAGCTTCATCAATTCTGAAAGTCCACTGTCCTAGGCAACTTGAGCTGACTGGTGGGAAGGGACATTGTATAAGTATAATCAATATCAGCTACAAGAACCACGAGTAAATTACTAATTATACAATATGCTGACTCAGAGACTTGACTGAAGTCCTCTCTACATTCTTACTCCTTCGAAATACTGACCTTGAAAAGTCCTAGGCTCATCTTATTATACAATCAGACCTATACAACTCGATGCAGAGCAAGAAAATAACCAAGTATGTAAACAAAGCACTCTTCGCATTTGGCCATGCCTCTAATGATGGCTGGACCCGGCTGGTGGCAACATCACCCGGAAAGTGATCAGGAATGGTGAGGACACGGCCCGTCTGTCTATCCTCGGAGCTAGCCAGGCATGCTCCGAACTGGCTGAGGGTTGCGATGATGCAGGAGAAATTATGACTCGTCGCCTCGAGTAACTAACTATACACATGATGCGGTATAACACAATTGCACGACTGCATTTGCTTCTTGACGGTCAGGGTCAGACTTACTTTGATATAATATATCTCTATCGGTCGCTGCTGGAGCAAATTTGTTGCTTTTTGAATGTATGTATGTCATTTACTTAGTAGATATCGGAATTCTTATACTCATCTAATCATCTACATCTTATTCTTAATCATGTGGCTTCCGTTATTTCTTATTCATTCCCGTGTCCCAGAGATGATCAACATTTATTGCACTTTGATGAATCTCCAGTGGTGTAAGTAGTGGAACGGGAGGCCAGGGTAAGGGTATGCGTTTTCCTCGTTGAATCATTTTGGCCTGTTCATGTGCGCAATCGATTGGTGCTTTTCGCCGAAGGGAGCGGCAGAAACCGGCGAGGGAATCTACGTCTACCGATGTGGCATGGAAGGAAGCTTATGTCACCTATAAAAATTAACCAATCTAGTTGGTGTTGGCTCCTAATCTTTTCTAAATACGCACGCGGGACAATGTAAGTGTCTCACCCACCGAAAAAATGAAACGAGTACTAGAAATATTCACAAGTTCAAGCTTGCTTAGCAAGCAAGCCACCAGAGCCCTTGCTCCACACATGGCGTTAACGGTTTTACAGTTTGCACAACAGTTTGCATTCTATTCTATCCTATTTTGCTCGGCTGCCTATTTCATAAACTAAGAAAACAAATGTATGACCCTATTGTAGTTATTCTTGTAGTTATACTATTTAGTATTCCATGATAGTTTAAGATTAAGTAGATTCATAATCAAAAATATGGTTATGGACATTCCTCAACTTTGGGAATGTAATTGAGAGACAGCGTTTGATTCCTAGCATCAGTTTTTTTAGAACAGCGGACAGTCAGAACAATGGGTCTTCTGGCTGTGATCCCCTGGCTTTCCGTGAGCGTGAAGTTCATCTCGCAATAGTATCGTGATGTGGTGAAGTTCATGTGTGTGTGTGTGTGTGTGTGTGTCTACGTACATAACCGAAGCAAATTTCTACTTCCCTTCATGCTCGAGCTATTGGAATGTGGATAAGGCGAGCACGAATGCGAAGGATTTGAGCATATACTCCTCAGGGTCTTACGAGAACGCTGGCCGCTTCATCTTCGCAAAGGTAGCAACGACCACATCGACCTCAACGACGACAACTCGAACGCAGACAACCACAACGCTATGTAGACATGAGATATTCTTATCCAAGGACAAGGCAACAATACTGCACCAAACGAATCGTTACCATATCAGAACACGCCTAATTTTAGACCTCGAGCAGTAAGGTCAAGGTGGTTCTTAACTGATAGCAAAGGCAAACCGATATCAGGAATAATTAACTAATTTCAATTTGCTCAGGGTGGAGCGCAGTATTAGGATTAGCATCAACATGCGAAAGCTCACGCGACAACAAAAGGAGTAGGGATCTGCGCCGCCTTCTCGGGGTCGGTCCATGTGTCCAGGGGGACTCGCTTTGCGTGATCTCTAGCCTAACCACCTGACCTAGGACCTTTTCGTTGTTATCGGAGTCCATGCTTAACCATAGCAAAGGCCCAGAGCCGTTCCTTTGCGTTGGTCAGTCTTCCGCACTGCACTCCGCGAGTGGGTGATAGTGGTACGCGTCAGACCATTCGAAACGGCTCATGCTCAGGCCCTACCGGCATAGTTTGTCATTCATAGCTCCCGCGCGCGTCGGTCTGGCTGCGGGCGCATGCTCGTGGCTCTCTGGTGGTCCACTACTGTCCTCGCCGTCGGCGGAGACTGACCTGCCGGGGCTAAGCGCAAAAAGCGCCCAGCAAAGTCGTGGCCGTGTGCGTCTGTCGGGTACTCTCCCCTGCCCAAAGAAGCCGGCGCAGCCAGCCCAAAAGGGCTCCAGCAGAAGGAATAGGCGAAGACATGAGCCAGCCGAAAGAAACGCGGCCCGCCGAATCGGGCCGCGCGGTCTCCTTAAGGGATAAGCGTCGAGAGCCAGCGGAGGGCGCAAGCCCATGCCTGAGGCGCCTCCGCATCGTCAGGAGGTGCGTTTACCCGGGGCGGCCCCACAGGGCCAGCGCGCGGGCGAAGTGGGGGGCCACCCCATTTGCCCTCGAAGAGTACAGACTAGAACCGATCTGCCACGGCCACGGCGGCTGCCACCGAGGGCCGCGTTGTTTCTTATATCGACCCGCGCTTGAATGTTGGTCTTTGGTGCAAAGAGCCGCGGCCCGCTCCGCACGGCCCAACTGTCTTTCGCGGGCCTGGCGGTGGGCCTCCCCGCACCGTCTTCGAGCTCCTCGGGCGCTGGCTGCATCTAGAGCAGGCTTGGCCGCTGCAAGCTCGAGATGAGCAGCAGCGGCGGCGGGTGGGGGGGGCGCTCTTGCCTGCTTGTCGGAACTTGATGAGTCGCCGGGCGGAATCACTTCGACTCACCTCGACAGCTGTTGGCTCACCAAGTTGCCCCGCGCTGGTGGGTAGTTTGCCTCGCAGAGACCGAAGGGGACGCAAGGGTGCGGGCGCCCCCCGTTTCTCTTTCAATGATTGCGAAGCAAGCAGGGGAGCCTGTCAAAAGTCCACTCTAATAGACAACCCGTCAGAGGCAGAAGCGGACCTGAGTAGCGCTTTCACAGAATACTCCGGGAAGAACTGCGGTCTGTCGGATGATCCAGCAACCTATCAGTTAAGCCCCCATGTTCTTGTTGTTATTCTTGGTAATGAATTGCTTAGGGTCGGGCTTGTCTCCATGGTATTGAATAAGAGGGACACTCAATTTTCAAGTATCAAAATACTCGTGGTAGGAGGACTTGGGGGGCCAGGGGAAATAGGATAGAGTCTGACTTGAGGGAGATTGATAGATAAAACGCAAGAAATCAGGAACGAGGTGAAAAAATGATTTGAAGCAAGTATCAAGTCGAGCCCCAAATACCTCGAGAAATGAGACTTTCAGAATTTGTGCCAGCTGTCAAAATAGGAGTAGTTGCAATTATTCCTATTGTTCAGAAAGCTTTTTTACTTGCAACACTTTTTTGAAGCAGGACCGTCAAGTTCTTGAAGTTGATCTTGACGGTGAAAATAAATGATATTTCTGGTATAGTAGAAGATAGTCATGACCTCGTATGCTACGTAGAAGCGATCTCTCAGGATTTGGAGAGAGGAGCTCTAATAAAGCCTGGTGGCAATGCGACAACCAACCTGGTCGTGCTCTACTCAGCTGGGGATACGGAGACGCTTCATATTTTACGAAACTCGGTACATAGCAGGTTCACCTTTGAAAGTGCTCCCGCTCTCCACAAATTCTAGTGCTACTGAGGGAAGATGTAACAAGGTTTACTCCCTCTACGAAAGGCAAACTTGAATTTGTGATTCCTATTCTGCCTGAATGTGCCGTAGCGCTGTCTGAACTTGTTAAATAGCTAAGCGAATTTCTGTAGAAGTAAGTGGATTCACGTATACTTTTTTGTATACGTCTTAGGGCATCGGCTTCCTTTCATACTTGGCGAAGTGCGTGAGGAAGTGCGCCTCGTTTGTGTCGGATGGCAACAGGGGCTGCGGCGGCTTCGTTTATTATGAAAGCACAATAAGATAATAATTATAGAAATGAATTTAGCAGCACTGGTTCAAAAACTTCTTTTGAATTTGATAAGAAACAGAATTGTACGCTTCGGCCATCGTCTGCAGTTACTTGAAAAATGCTGGTTGGGTTTCATCGGTCAAACTCTTCGCTGAGTTCCTTTGAGTAGTTTAGCTCTTCGCTGCGTACTGGGGTAGTAGAGTACTAGTAAAAAGTGCACCCTTGTTACATTTGTCTAAGGAAATGAAAAGCAAGCAGTGACCGATACGGCTGCCAAGCTGAGTGGCATCCAAGGCTCCTGCATCCTGCGACAAGGCCCGGTGGACATGGACGCATGTGTCGATGAATCAAAGGCGACATTCTATCTTATGACAAACTTACATACGCTCCTAGTCTCAGTCTTCTAAGTCTGAATAGTCATAGCAGCTAAGCCAGTCGATAAACAATAACTATACTCAGATGAGAGGACAGCACGTGCTTGCAGTTCCATTAGTACGTCTCCACCTCTCTGCCTCTCCTGACCGAGTTGAATAAGATGAAAGTCAGGACGAGCAACATCTTTTATCGGAAGGGTAACGATAATTTTTTTTCTTTGGTGTTTACCTAGTTACTTAGGCTGGCTCCACTACTGTATAGTTTTACGAAGAAATTTTTACTACTTTTGGATGTATGAGAACTATCTGGATTCTAGATCCCGCAGCAAGTGCTAGAAGACCTCTAATAACCTTCGAAAGGCGGCGCAGGTGGTCACGCGTATTGGCGGAGACTCATCGTCAGACGCTGGCTCATCGTCAGACGATGGCTCATCGTAGAGGTAGACGGTGTGTCTCTGCCTGATCTCTAAGGAGATAAGAAGTCCACCAATTGAGGGGAAAAGTGGACATTAGTAGTCCACGAATTGAGGATGTCCTGTCTATACACGCGTAGTTTCAGAAGATCAAGAAATAGAGTGAATATGGATCATGATCTTAGCAGTACTATGTTTAAGCAAGTTGTAGTTCGGGCTCTATCTAGGTAGTGCTTTTTATGAAAATCTGAAGATTATAATGTAGTAGCGATTTTGGTTTCTCGGGTTGTATCCCTGAAAGTTATCATGTCTTTTTCGTGTTCTTGCGTTTCAAATTCAATTTTTTTTCGACTATAATTCAAGGATTTATCACAAAGATTAATTCGTTTTCTTCCTTTTTCTCTTCAACTCGATTCTCTACCATGTTTTCATCAAAATATGTTTCTCGTGAAAAAAAGAAATGACTTGTTTTCAAGAAAAATATTATGATTAAGGTGAACGAGATCAAGGTTAGTACTATCACTTCATAGACGTCATCGGCCAAGCCGATACACTACACACACGAGAAAGTCAAAAGGAAATTTCTGCCGATTCGGCGCTTGAGGCGCAGGGCTGAGGCAGGAGCCCAATCTGAATCTGAGTCCAACAACTGAGAAGCAAGCAACTTCATATGTGTAAGTAGTTTTTGTTGATTAGTTTCGTTCGTAGCAGTCGCCTCGTAGAAGTCCGTCTTCTACCTTTCCTTGAACAGATGAAAAAATTGTTTCGATCCACATATTAGAACACCATCTTGCATAGGATCATAAAGTGAGTCCAACACGTTGGTTGCCATGACTAGAACACCTCGTAGATGTGACTAGTACAACACTAGTGCAACAACTACAGAAGATGTACTAGTAACTAGTTAATAGTCATGCTATCATTTTCTGACTTCTTGTGGGGTTTCTTATGTTACACTCGAGCAATGAACACTTGTGACAAACTCCAGTTTCGGAGCATCAGCATATTTCGTGATGACTGATTGTAAAACACACAACAAATCAACTTGTACCTACTAAATCGAATTCATACACATGCAGTTTTATAAGTACGTGATTTCGTTGTAACTTGCAGCAGCGAGGCAGTATGCTTTGAAAAAAGAGCCGCGCCAGAAGATGTTGACGCTGCCTCTTCGGTACTGCTTTAGAAAACAAATGGCTGAAGAAAAGCGGAAAAGGAAAATATACTGAAGAAAAATGTGCAAGTCAAAAAAGTCCTCGTTTCGAAGAAGCAGAACTTACCAAAAGCGAAAAAAACGCTGTCCGTCTCAGTCTTCACTCTCATAACCTATAATTGTTTCTACCAGCCTCAGCCAATCTTTACTCTCAAACGATTGAACATGCCACCTGACGACGAGATTGGAGACCAGACAGCCAGCACTATGTTGGCTGGACGAGAGTCTGTTTGCGTGCCCGCGGACGGAGCCGACGTACCCTCCGTAGTGGATGCAGAAGTAGCAGCTGCAGAAGATTCTGGATCACCTTCTAATTACGATCATTGGCATTGGGTTATCCTTATCATCTGATTAAATTAAGTAGAGAAGTTTAATATATAACTTGTATCTGCTGCTGCCTCACGACGTGGGTCTGACTCTATTCGCTCCAAGTTCATCCATGAAAGAATAGATCTTGTTAACGAAGAATTGAAGGATTTTGCAGATCACGGCGTGAAGAGAAGTAGAAGAACGAATAAGTATCTGATGATGTTAACAATCTAGAAGTAGCGCTGCCTCTAATCCGACACGTCAAAACCTGCTAGCGTCAATGCGTCTCCGGTTGTAGAGCCCCCAAAGCCGAGGAAATACAGGTTTTCCATAGCAGAGCCAGAGTCATTCGAAAGTGACTTTGGAAACGCAACATCTTCAAGGAACTCACGGGTGAGCATTAGGGATTGTTCTTGGCAGGAAAAAAATCATTTCATCATGTTGCAAGGATTACTCAGAACAATTCTTTATGCCCAAGGCAGGTCGTTGTGATAGGCTAGACGCGATGATGCTTGTGACGTGAGGGATTGACTTCGACTAGTGGTCGACAGCACTCCTAGAAATCAAATAGTTTTTTCGTCTTGCCTCGTGACACTGACACAATCGATCTCCACTTCTAATCCTCCTCGATTATCAAGTCGAACTAGCGAAGTACAACAGCTATTGCTGCCACCTTCGATTCTGGCAGCGAGAGTGAGTGCTACTTTACGAGGAGAGGAGGCAAATCTTCTTGACAACTCAAACGGCAGGATGCGAGGTAGCGTTTTTATGCTGGAACCGACAGCGTCGACAGCGAGTGGAACACGAACAGGTAAGTGTTAATGAATTAATAATTGGATGATTCTTGCTTGTTTCTCCCTCTTGTTGCCTCTAGTAATTATGTTTTTTCATCACATCATCATGTCATGATCCTTGATCTTCACCATGTTGTCGTGGCCACAAAATCCCATCTACTTCTAGAAGGCTCGTCGTGCTCACAATTCATCCAACAACCAACCTCAGGTTCAGAAGTCCCGCCAACACCCACTTTCGATGATGGCGACCTAGAGCTTCTGAAGGGGAGAAATAGCGGCTCTCGCTCTGTCTCCAAGTCCTCTAGCTCGTCGTCACTTGGGGAAGATGCGAGTTTCTCTGGTACTTTTTTTCGGGTTTTGTTTGACACTACAGTGGATACTACAGTGGAAGTCGGGAAAGTATTACTTTTTTGTGGATGGTGCAGCCAGGTGCAGATGACTCCCTAATACAGTTGTTTTTCCTATACTTCATACAAATACTCTTGGTTGATGTACTACAACAACTTACTTACAATACTAGAGCGACCTATCCACTTCTTCATCTCAGAGCCGATCGGCCTCGCCCCCTTCGCGCCATTCAATGCCGATAGTGTAGCGCACTTTCCCAGTGTTGTTGCTGAAATAGCTCACGAGGCGTCTTTGCTGTCCGTAGTCTGTTCTTCCAGATATGAGGCTTTGCGCAAGAAAAGGGTCGAGAAGCCAGAAGCTTTCCAGACCGGCAGCTTTGGTGCGAGGCTGTTGTTATGGTCTTGACAGCGATGAGGTTGAGGTACTTACTTGTTGAGAACAACAAGAAGTGTTGTTCTTAAGTCGACGCAACGTAGGTCAGCCATCAATTTTAACCAAGTCTTTCTCATGTTGAATAAAGTAACCAGTGGTATACAAATACATCGATCTTCAAGTCGGTTTCATGTAGAAGAACCAGTCCTGATATTCAAGCTCTAATATGCGGCCAATTCTCCGACGCCCTTCAGACCGGTGCCTATGTCTTGGGGAAAACGAAGTACATGCTCCACACCCAAGTCTTGGATCTAAGGGGAGAACGGAAACCTGTTAAACCGGTACCAAGATACCGTAGAGCAACATCTTTCGTACGGATTTCCAGAGGAAGAGAGAGAGGAAAAAAATGATAGAAGTAAAATAGAAGGAAAACTGATACTCGCTTCGCGATACAGGTCGATGAGTTGCAGCTGTTGCGTGATTCGAAAGAGGGGACATCTTCGACGTAATCGTCATAATTATAGAGACAGATTTTCTAGAAGACCATTCATCGAAATTCCTTCCATTTCCCTAACATCGATCATCTCCCATTGTCTGCTCGCCACAGATGTTAAACCGCGAGTTCGATCCCCAGTCGCAAGTAGATGAAGCCCTACGGTCCGTTCACGGCGCTTCCTCCAAGATCGCGTGTTTAGCGGAGGACATAGTTAAGCTTGATCGTCCTCAACTGATGTTAGATTCAGATTCTTGGACTTTTAGCATCCTCAACGCAGGAGCAAAATCTACCTTGTACACCAACAAAAATTTTTGGAAATTATGACATCTTCTATTTGCTATAATTAAAAACCGGCAAGGGAAACCTTCCCTCTCTCTCACCAGGCACCACAGTATAACAACCATGCCTTTCTTCCCCTTCTAGCCTATACGCTCACTCCGTCACAAGTGTTGGGCCCACTCCTATCCTATCCTATCCTATCCTATCCTATCCTATCCTACACGGACACACCCTTAACACTGCGACACTCACTCTAACCTCCCAACAACCGTAATTCCGACGAAACGAAAGAGCAATCTCCAACAAACATCGATTGGACGTAGCTCAGGCTCTTCGATGTTTGGGATCCGCTTCAAGGAGTTCTACGAGCAAGGTTTCGAAACAAGAAGGAAGCTCGAGGAGCCGGTTAGTAGTGTGGGTATTAATTTCTTGCTGGATGGTGTCAGTCTTCTTTTGCATCCATTGATTCGTAATATTGTCATGATATTATAGACAGTTGTTGCAGTGCTAGTTTTTCGCTTCAGTGAAGTAGATGCGTTTGTTTTATCAATGAAAAAAGTAATTCTAATTGCAGCCAGTACCTAACCTTGCAAGTTCTCGTGTCTTATTATCCCTCCAAACAACTCACCAACAGAATTCCTGCAATGTATGGAGCAGTTTTACGCGCTCAAAGGGCATTTTGAGAGCGTTATTTCGAAAAGCAACACGCTCATGCGCATTCTGGATACGCAATTGGACTCGCAGACGACCTCGATTGGGGCAACTATCAAGGTCGCTGTTGCTGCCTCGAAGCTCAAGGGCTTGCTGAATAAGAGCAAGCAAGGCGTCGACGAAAGAGCGATGGCGAGTTAATTTGCTACTTTGGTGGAGAGGATTTTAGAAGATCTAAGATGCAAATTGTACGTAGTCGAAATTAGAAAAAACGGGACATCACGCTTCCACCTGTTGATGCGCCTTTTACTTCATTCAGAAAGATTATCACAGCCTGAAGACAAATTACATCAAACTCGTAAGGTATTCGTATTTCCAAAACCAGAATATCAAAAAACCTCAATTATGTCTTAGCGCATTCAAATTTCCCGAAGATACCTAGTAGAACGTTGTGATAGATATCAATGGATCGTAGGTAGTGCTGGAAAGGTCGTCATTATAACAGTCTGTTAACTGACACTGAGTCATCCACCTTAATATTTGTTGGAACCGAGATGACTCGTTCGCTTTTTATAATGCTCTGCTGTTGTATCGCTGATCTCCCTGCGGGCCTCTGTATTTTATCCGGCAGTTATAACCAGCCAACAAAGCGCTTGGGTTACTGCTTCCACACTCAATTTTCACGGATGTGCCCTAAATCACTACAGCTCTGTCTTCTCTGTGCTTCTGTGAAGCGCTACATTGTCTGCGCCTACCCCTACTTGTACTATAGTTCATTGAATTTTCACTTTGTATCGTAAATGGGATGAACATGTTCTTGTAGCATGTCGTGTTGCCAACTTGGTCGTGCTGTACAGTTATTGTTTGGAAAAGCAAATCAAAAATTAGCAGGAATACGTAGCCGAAAAACTACACGATCTATTTTCCTCAGTTCTTCTTCCAATCGTGAATCAACAGCTGTGCCTGACTAGTCCGCTCTCAAAAAGCACAATTGGATGTTCTGGAGGTTCTTCAGTTTTTTCTCTGGGTGGTGAGCCCTACATGCTGTCTCCCTCCTCTCTGTTGATTGCGAAACGTACTGTGCCCCTTTTGGTGGCCAGAAAACTTTTTTCTGAAATCTCCAAATCCAAATCCAAATCCAGCGTGATTTTGTCTTTGCGTCCGCGAAGTGTATGCGTTCTCTGCGCCCACCCCGAGCTGGGGCGTCGAACCTTCGAAAAACTTGTACTGAATTGTAATCGTCCGCGAAATGGGCGACTTCTCTGCGCTCACCCCAGCTGGTGCGCTGGCCCTTTGGCCGAAGCCTTTGAAATTGAAATCTTTATTTTCGTGATGGACAGAACAGAAAACTTTCCTGTAAAGTGCAAGTCACCAATCGAGATTTGGTCATCGCTTTCTAACAGATGAAGCATGTCCAATTGCTTGACTAGTTTTGCATTTCGACGGTTCTCTTGGTTCTATCGCGACTAAAAAGCATTTTTCCACCTCTATACTCACTTATTGGCTTGTCAAGCGTAAGAAGAAACACAAACGCAAAATGTTCGACGACGATCCTTTCAAAGACGAGTTCTCAGTTAACGCCGGTGACGTCTTTGGCGGGGGACCCAAACCGATCGTTTCTCCAGTTCCCACAGCGTCCCTTGCGACCACAGGCCACTTTGGAGGAACCGCCACCGCACCTAGTGCTGCTGCTTCTGCCCTATCCACATCAGGCGGAGGTGGAGTATTTGACGATTTTCCTGTATTTCCAGATGGACTCCTGCCACAAGGGACTTCTGCCACAACAGCACCGACTGGAGGATCAAATAAAGCAAGTCCGACACTTGCAGCGGGACAAGCGGGTTATGAATGGACACAACTTTTAATAATAATCAGTAGACTTCAACTTCTACTACCAGACCTCGATGATGATCGATGTGATTATTATTACTTATACTTCTCCCAGTGACATTTTTTTTTCGAAGCCTACATCAGTGTAAGAAGAACTAGAGATAGAATGTCCACATTCTACGTAGTCATCTCCAAGCCATATCGTAGACTACTACCAGACCTAGGATTGTAGGTAGTCATCTCCAAACCATCTCGTTGACCGGATCCGCAGGCAATTTCGTAATTTCGTCACCGACGACTAGCGGTAACGGACACCTCGGAGATGCTGCGAGTCAAGCAAAAGCTGGGTCTTTGGGAGGTGGCAGTGAAGTAGAGGCGCTTCTACGAGAACTAGTAGCGTCATCGAAACGGCAAGAGGCGTTATTGGAGAGACTGGTCGCTAATATGTCGTCGTCGGAGCAGAGTGGACATGTCGGTCAATCCAGAGGTCAATTGGTTCAGCCGCCGAGACATCAGCTGCCTCCTGGATACCCGAATCAGATAAAAGGTGGCATGATGCCTGCGCCACAACATACGATGCCGCCGATGCCAGGTAGTTCGCTTTTTTTGGATGAGGTTGCGTAACGCTATCGATGACCTACACCTTTTGCAAGTTAAATTTCAGATTAAGGTTCGTTGGCTCATCATTCACGAAATGTTGGATTATCATTCATCAACATATCATCGATCCATCTTTTTCCACCAGGTGGTGCCGGAATGGCTTACAACAATCCAGGAGCGCCACAGCAGTCGCCAGCCCTTCAACAAGCCGCTTCGGATGAACAGCGACGGAGACGGTTGGAGGAAGAAAGACGCAAAGCAGAGGAAATGAGGTTCCGGAAGCTAGAAGAAGAACGCAAAAAACGCGAGATGGAAGAAGCACGAAAAGCCGAAGAGATGAGGCGGTTGGAAGAAGAGCGGAGAAAAAGGGAACAGTTGGAGAAGAAAACTTAAGATCAGAAGATGCTTTAGTTCATGCTGATGTTCAACAAGAACTCTTAGTACTTTTGCTACTGTACTGTAACAGTGGGTACACAACTGTCAACAACATTGCAATTTATTTGAGAGTCAGTAATTATTTCTACACTCTTAGTCCACCGAAATACTGATCTTAGAAAGTCCTAGGCTCATCTTATTACTATCACCAAATAAGATGTCTTGCTGAAGTGGTATTCTCGTCATCTGAGCGTTATTCTAATCTCCCCAGAACCTGATGCAAGGATTGCTTGGCGGGGGAGGCGATCCCACTACCGCTGGAGCGGCACCAGCAGACGCGACAGCACCCGCGGCTGGCGGCGTCCCTGTTTTAGCGCCATCAGCTGGCGCCACGCCTAATATTGGCGGAGGTGTTAAGGGGATCTTTGAAGACGACGACGACATATTTGGAGCGGGATCGATGCTAGGCGGTAGCGGCACACGGCCAGCTAAAGGAGGACTTTTTGATGACTAAGTAATTTCTGATTTACGAAGCTCTTTGGTGGATACGGATTGCGAGCATGCTTTCTCGAACTAGAAATCTGAATTGTCAAGAATTGTAAGAAAAATCATAGGGAAGAAACAAATTTTTTGATAGGTGCGAAGCACAGCTAGAGCTACATCAAAGACAACCGCGGTAAAAAACATAACAGGGATTCACAATACGATTTACCTCATATGAACAATTTTTTTGCGTACGATATTTACAAACTCTAACTCAGAACAGTCCGTTGTACCCTACCCTACCCCCCGATCCCTCTCTCTATGCAGAGAAAAATTTGGCCTGCCAAGCATTTTTCTTCGCAGATTTTTTCTCGTGGACGAAAGATCTCATCTCCGCCTTTCGGGCTTGGAAAAGTCTACTTTCTGTACCTGCTGCCCGCATGTGTTCAACAACTTTTCCGCAAACGTACCGGACCTCAATCTTCTCTCGAAGCATGCATCAATCTTCATCACGTGTTCGAGTGTTCATGTGCAGAAATAAAATGCTGAGCTTGTAGTTTTTGGGCCAAGCCTTCTTCGATCATGGTTTGGGCAAGCCTTCTTCGATGATGGATAGGTCCAAGGCCTGCGTCGATCTATCATGGATTGAATGAAAAACAAGTGTCTTCTGAACAGCACTCGTGTTTGAATTCTGGAGTTTCACAACTCTCTCCGTCTCTAGTTTCCGGAGTAGGGGACTCTGCCACTCCTCGTCCTCGTAAATAAGTAGTTTCAAAAATATTATCTATATTTGACGATATGCATTTGCATACAACCGCGACACGACACCAGATACACCTTGTTATACTGTCGGATACGGATACTTTTCTCTTGCTTTGATCTAGAACACGATCACCCTTTTACTTTTAGTTTCAAAAATTTCCATCGCCAACATCGGTTGTAGAGAACCCGAGACTTCTAAACACGTTACTTCTACTACAAACAGACACCCACACCTAGTTAGTTCTCGTTGTAGACGCGACACTAGTCAATCACATAGCCAATAAAAATGAAGTTGTTGAGCGGAAAGTCTTTTGTTGCTGCGGTGGCGGCTGTTGCTGGCACCTTTTGGCTGGTTGAGGCGAAGAAGCCAGGCAAGACGGAAGGTGAAGCTTTCATGAAAGAAATTGTGAAAGAAGACGGCGTCACTGTGCTCCCGTCCGGGTTGGCTTATAAGGTACTTATGATTATTAAGTGCTGGTGCTCTGTGACGCAACAATTGGTGCTGTAGGTGATAATGAAGCAGCTTCCCATATTAGAATGATATACAACTGTGCCACAAGAAAAAGTTTTCGAAGTGCAAGAATCACAGGAGTACGTATGAAAATTTGTCTACAGACAGAGAAGATTCGGCGTGAAGATTCGGCAACGGCGCCCTATCCTATCCTAGCCTATTGTCCTACAGAGAATACACTACTTTTTCGTCAAACGCGAACACTTCACTAGGTACTCCGCCAGGGTGAGGGCAAATTTCATCCGACCAAAGATTCTCCATGTGATTGCCACTACAGAGGAACCCTCGTTGACCGAAAGACCGAGTTTGACAGCAGCTACAAGCGTGGGCAGCCAACAACGTTCGCGCCGAACCAGGTAGTCTTGATTCATCTATTTCTCCAGAGGGAAAGAACGAGATTAGTAGTTTTACGAACTACGCTTTTGAGTTTTTTTGGTTGAAACTACGAAGCATTTTCTCATGATGAGAACATTTTCCTGGAGAGCGAGGGAGAGACTCACTGACTACTTATTTTATGCCAGGTAATTGCTGGTTGGACTGAGGCTATGCAATTGATGGTCGAAGGCGACAAGTGGGAAATGTACATCCCTCCGAACCTCGCCTACGGCTCCCGCTCTATGGGAAACGACTTGCCGGCTCATAGCACCCTCATTTTTGAGATGGAAATTATCAAGATCAAGGGAGATAAGGTGCCAAGCAAGGAAGAGTTGTAAGAAATCATGCGGGTTTGAGTTGGTATAATTGATGTGCCCACGACCTTTTTTTTGGTGGGCACTTAAAATGCGATGGTCGCATGTGAGACGTGATCGGAGCTGGTCATATGTAGCATACAGAGAGTAAACGCATAACTACATCTATACACGAAGGAGAATGTAGAGGAGATACCGGAAAACTCTTTGATGATCACCAAGCAAGCTCAAGCATGGACATGTGTAATAAAGTTGTAAATCAAAATCTTATCAACACGAAGCACGAGTAGTTCCTAGAAATGATAGTAAGTTCACTCGTCATCGTCTGTTTATCCTCCCCACAGAGGAGCAGGCAAATCAATTACACTTGATGGTATTCATCAAACCCATGCGCATGTCCATGTGAATTCACGCGAGCGTGATAGTGCGACATTGACACACCTCGCCGAATAAGAAGAGGAGGCTCTGAAAGGGATAGCATTCCTTTTTGCGAATTCATTCTTGTGTTCGTCCACATACAGAAAATACCTGTATCGTACACGTCCATCTTCGGTATCTAGATGGATCAGATTCAGAATCTTCCCAATCCTTGCGAGAATGTGACGCACGCCATAAATCTGCATCGGTGAACTGAGATCGGCTTTCTGCCTGGGAAATGAACGTGAAAGAGACCCCTCCTCAGAGGCATGGCATTCTAGATTTGGTTAAGGCATACCAGTCGGTTCTGAAAACCTATCTGTCAAGCCCCCAAGAACCCTCCTGAATTATGCTCATTGCTCTCTAAATATTGTTGTTCAGCCTGATTCGCGAACAAGAGAAATGCAACTCATACTTCATGATGACATTTTACACCTTGAGTGCACAGTGAACTCGAACACCAGCACCACGCGTAGTTTCTCTGCTATAGACAGACCCCACCTCCACCAAAACCATCCAAAAGTGGGTCTCTGTGACTCGCAAGCCACAAAGGCTAATACAGAAGCGGAACCCGCGTTCATGGAGGAGAAGATAGAAGAAAAAGACAGACGTAGTGTCACTCGGGTCCGGTCTTGCTTTTACGGTAGGTACGATAATTGCCTAGTCTTCGCCCTCGCTTCGTGGAAGCAAATACGTGCCATCAAAACAGATGGCAAATGGTCAGCGCAACACGTGGCGCCATTTGTCCATTTTGCTTACATTTATCACATCGAGCCTCTCAGGTCCTCACAAAAGGCACTGGTACCGACCACCCAACTCCCGTATAATTTGGCGTTATGGCTCGAAGACGTATAACGTCTTGCACCAAAATGATAATTGTAAGTGTCAGATTCGCCGCTACATATCGTCAAGGAGTGGGTAACTCGCCTGAGCAGAAGCTAGTCACATATACTTCCGCTCTTCGGGATTTTACAAGGAAGAGCATTAAAAACGCTAAATTATGACATGTTCCTCTAATACCCTATGATCCATACGGTTGTAAGAGAGCGGTGGGCAAGAAGATCCAACCCTGTTCGACGCCCGTCTTCAAAATGCAGCTAATCACAATTGAAGGAGGCAAAGTGCCGGTAACGAAAGAAAAGGCCTGATAGTGGATAGACCGGCTTCAGCCTGTGCTCTAAAAAAGACCCCCGAGAAAAAGTTCGTAGAAAATTTTTCAAGAAAACTGTGACGAAAGCGCCAACTTGTCGAACTGCGAAACGCGTATTTTTGTATGCCACGTAATGGTGTGATGAGAGGATGAAGAAACGAAGACGCGTAAATAACTTCATTTTCGAGTATGAGTGATCAGAGACTGACGAGCATCGGTTAGCAAGAATCCAAAGCTTTGTCGGTCGCCAGGCATCGTTGTGTCCGTCAGAAAATCCAGTGCTATGCAGGACAAAAAACGCCCCCTCATTTTCCTCCGCCCACTGACTCCTCTTTGCCCACGACGAGACGCTTTGATATCTACACCTTTCTGCTCCAATTTGTTTTCATACAGTTCAACTGTTGCAAAAACGACATGAAGAACATCATCGTTTTCCCAACAAAAAAATCAACTTGTACTTGATAAACACACCACTGAATTGGCAAGTAGGTCGCCAGCATGAAGTAGTAGAGTAGAGCAGAAAGATGCCGGCAAAAAATTATTACGACACTCTTCAGGTCGGTCGCACAGCGACCGACTTCGAGCTGAAGAACTCATACAGAAGGTACTCAATTACAACTTTTTTTTTATTAATACTCGCATCGTACTCGTAGTAGCAGTTGTACTAGGGATTCATACTGATGTAACTGTTACAAAGTAAAAGAACGAATTCACACGTGGTTATCGTTATTTGGTTTGATACCGAATGACGATGACTTGTTAGCTTTAGCAAGTCTCATAATACAACAAGTTCCAACCCATTTCAGGTTAGCCTTGAAGTACCATCCGGATAAGGATCCAGCAAATTCAGATCATTTCCGATCAATCGCGGAGGCCTTTGTCGTTCTCAGCGACCCAGTAAAGCGGGCGAAATTTGATCAGTACCTGCTTTAAATCTATTGCTTATGCCAAAGATATCGAGCATAGATAGTCGTGTGGTATTCGAAATCAAGATCGTTTTTATAATTGTTCGTGCTCTCTAAGTCTGTCTGTCCGTCTATCCGATCCTATACCCTTCCCCTAACCAAGGTACGGCGAATCCGGTCTCAAGGATGGTGTTTTGGAACAATCAGAGTACAGGGGATGGCAATATGTTGGGGATCCTTTGCACCTCTTCTACGACTTCTTCGGAGAAACCAGTCCACACGCGATCATGCTGAATGAGCACAAGGGCAAATTCAACTTAGGTACGAATAGGACTACAGATTTGAAATGTATATGTCTTGGTAAATGATGTGAATATGATCAAGCAATAAAGAAAGAGAAAGTATAGTAAGTAGTCGATGAAGTCCACCTCCACGACGACAGTTTTTTCTGCACCCGTGCTGTTTGTAGAGATAAAAGTCAAGTACATCCAACAAACAGTTCCCCGAGCCATCAAGGCACCGGAGGCAGGCGCGGAGCATGACATAGAATTGCGGTGTACACTAGAGGAGCTGTATCGTGGAGCAACGAAGTGCTACAAAATCGACAGACAGCGATTTGATAGGGATCATAGATCATATGTCGACACCAAGGCGTTGACAATCAAAATCGACGCTGGGTGGAAGCCAGGAACTAGACTGAGGTTTTCAGGTACTACTTCTCCATAGGTTCCGAAATAAGAAGCTTCTGAATCTGATTCTCGTTCTCTCACAAAAAATTTCTCCTACTTCCCGTAGTCCTACTTCTCCATCGGTTCCGAAATAAGAAGCTTCTGAATCTGATTCTCGTTCTCTCACAGTACCAAGATCAGGTCCAGCTTCAACTCCTTCACCCACCAAACAGGTGAGGGTGATCAGATTCACCCAACAGAGAGCAAAGCAGCCGATGTGATGTTCACTGTCGTTGAAGCAAGCCATCCTGTTTTCGAAAGAATAGCGGACACATACGATCTGCTCTATATCCACAAGTACATGAAGATTTGGATTTGCTCTTACTATATTCAACGCAAGTATAGACTATAGTTGTGATCAAATCTTTGAAGATATAGATCATGTAATCAAATGGTGAAGAATAGTTAGGTTGTCAAGAAGTAAATGGTCAACTGTCAAGAATTACGAACTACGATAACACAACAGATTAATATTTTTATCTATTCCCTCAGGTGCACGCTCCTAGAGGCATTAACAGGACATGTTATCAGCCTCGAATTATTGGACGATTCAGTCCTGAACTTGCATGTCCCGGAATCAGTGAGCCCAGGATATGAAAAGCGAGTGTTGGAGCATGGTAATTCTATTAACTCGTGTCATGTAGAAAAAAATCAGCGATTTCGTTGATGCAGTTGTTCTCCTCTACCAATGATTTTCCAACAAGCATGCTCCGTCTTCTTTTCTATAATTCATTGGCATCCAAAGGATCCATACCCCACCGCCTTAGGTCTGCAAAAAGCGAACGGAAAATTCGGAGACCTTGTGGTCCGATGGGACATTCAATTCCCGCAGTTGTCGAGTGAGCAGAAGGCCTCGCTGAAGACAATTTTGAAGAAGTAGGAGTTGAACTTATAGAAAGTGAAACTTCGACTTGTTCAAACAAGATAATCTTCTCAGATTACTAGTTCGACTCGTTCAAATAAGATCATCTTCTCAAATTTGTACTCGATCATGCTATTCGATATGATCGATTGAAACGGAAACGATTGAAACTATAACACTGTGGACAGTAGACTTGTTTGATTTACTAGGATATCATTTAGATAGGTTTGTTGTTTCTAGAAAAATTAGATACATCCGCGCTTTCGCAGTCGGTGCAGCAGTAGAGAAGCACAGGCGGGATCAGCATTAGCAGCGGCAGCACTGGAAGCTTAGCAGCTCATCTAAGAAAATAACGACTGCTCTCTGAAACTGACGCAGACGAAGTAGATGAGGAATAAGTACAAGGAATTAGCGCTAGGTAGAACGGAATATGTTTGATTGTAAATACCTCTCTTGAATATCATGTACTTCGGATGCGACGCAGCTCTTATGATGGTATCTTCAAAACAACTGGAACTGTATTGCCGAACAGACAGCGCATAATTGCTGCTTGAAAAAATTAACTACGACGCAGATCAAAATCATGTGATCATAGTGGTGTATGAGGTCTATGTTGATGATGTGTATCTGTATCTGTCGGTACCTGTCCTCCTGCAGCAGGCAGTCGGTGCCCATCTGGTGGGCGACCCTCAGAGTGGCCTAGCGTGCGTCATTGTTCAACATGAGTGACTCAGTGAAACCATTCTACTTATGAGCGGGCATTGTTGAGGAACAATTTTTGAGAACGCCAAAGAAAGCAGAATATTTTTTTTCAATTTATTTACGAGACTAGAATTTTATTTACTTTACCGTAATAATACGGTTCATTTTCTAAGAAATATGACTTTTTGCCGTTTTGTAATCTAGTTTATGCTCATAGAAAATTGGAAGATGGTCCAAGTCCATAAGCCAGAACATGTTGCGTTGTGATCTACACTGGTGACAACGGGTATCGGGAGAAAGCCTTGCAACAAGAAGCGGGGCGCTTTTTGATTGAAGGAAGAACAATCGCAGCATCATGTTCTCGCAATCTTCATCGGCTGCGAGCATGAGCAGGGTGCTTGCCTCCACGACTGCTCAGCCCCCCGAATCGGGCGCAGAGGAAGAGTCGCGCTTCTCGCTAAAGCAGCACGAGGAAAACCCGAATAATTATGAAGTAGTCGCTGAAATTTGAAAGTAGAACTCAACATTGGCTACCACGGAGAAAAAGGCTGGATTTCTTAGTCACAATTCAAAGTAACGAATGTAGGTTCTTCCCTTCCACCCTTTTCCCCCTCTATCTCCTCTAACGAAGGCACAACATCCTAACGACATTGGCGATGCCTTTCACGGGCTTTGGCGCGTTCTGCAAGATGAACCTCCACAAGATAAAGCAGGCGCTTTCTACACCGCAAGTCCACGTCTTTCATACCACGAAAGGTCACTTGGATGTCACTGAGCGGGAGGTGTCACATCTCATGTCAAGTGCAACTTCATCTTCGCTTCATCCCGGCGCATCAGATGTAGGTGCGGCTCCAGGTAGTTCTTGTACTATTTCTCGTAGTAGAAGTAGTACCTCGACGTACACCTCTATTTCCGCTTCTACTTCTAGTACGAGCAGGCAGAAGGTTTCTGGCAAGTCGTTGAGGTCGAGAAGCAAGATTATGGCTCTCGTCGCAATGATGTACTCTTTTGTTACAACTCACTGAGTAGACTCATAATCTGATTAGTGATCATGCCGTGCATGAATAACAAAGATTAAATCTCTAATCTACTGCCTTCTTCCGATAGTGTTGGCGGTACCAGCTGCGATGAAAGACAGTCGCAGAGGAGCACAGCGTTGCCAAGTCCTTTGGACACCTGTGAAGACTCGACTTCAGAAGTAGAGGGATCCGTTTTTGCTGGTACACACCCTCTTGATGCTGCAGTGGATGGCGTCTTACGTGAGACGATTACCCTTACCCGCAGTCGCAGTAGCGGTAGTAGTGTCGACATAGATATATCTATTGGGGGTGCTATGCCTGATGCTTCTCACCCTGTTCTCCCTATTCCTGATAGCGTGGACTCTTTTTTCTCTACGTCTGAGGAACATGGAGAGAATTCATCAGGGCCTTCTCTTGATTATAGCAGAGAGGAGAGCGAAGCTGGTGCGAGTGGGGAACTTCTTCTAGAGCAATCCAGCACGACGAAAAGCGTTACGCTTGATCGTGATCGTGCCAGTCTTTTTGCAGGTACTACCACAGGATCAACCGCAGTGTCGTCGGTCACTAGCATTTGCGGAAGCAGTTCTTCATCGAGCTGTAGCGGTGATGAGAATGCGGGTTATAATCTTCATGCCTCAACAGCATACAGTTACAGCACTGCAAAAAGCTCCCAATCCGCATTGTCTTCCAAATTCACATTGTCTTCGTCAGGCAGCACAAGTAGACAGTATCCCCACCCTTTTAAGCAAGGACAAGGAAGAGGAGAGCCGCGGTTTGTGTCAGCACCATGCAACGAGATGAAGAAGCAAGATGAACAACATGAAGGAGGCTCATCTACGCCTCCAACTCTAGAACGTTCTTGCTCTACTACAGCGTCTATTGCTGCTGCACCTCCTCCTCTGCCTCAAACTCAGAGTTCTTCGTCACAAATGCGTGCTGCGTCATCTACTTCTACAAGTGCGCACCAATCCCTCCTACAAGTTTCCCGCAATAGTGCGTCATCTACTTATATAAGTTCGCCAGCCGCCTTACTAGAGGACTATCGAGTATTCCAGCTCCGTTGGGATTGTCCGCACAATACTCGCAGATTCGCGTCGCCACAACATCTTAGAAGTCGCAGGGACCACAAGACGAGAACAGTGCCACATAGTAGTTTTGGAGGTGGGAAGAATTCGAAGGCGCCACCTACTTCGTCTTCGTCTAGTTCTAGCTATAGTACAGCACATGGAGGAGCCCGTCGTGGTGGATTGGTCGATCTTACAAGAGGTAGTGGCCCTTACGATTTTCAACCTGATCTGGCATCGTTCGTGCGTGGAGGTAGCGAACTACTAGCACATAGTCGGACCGCATCAGCAGACAGCCTCTGCACGCGGCCGAGTACGGTTAGTAGCAGCCTTTTATGACAGGGAAGAAAAGACTAGGGTGGATCAATAATTAAGTAGTAAATAGAGCGATTATTCTGATTGTCATTGGTGTTCAATATCAACAATGGGATGATTTTTACGTACATTCACTACATTCACACTTTCTCATAGAGCATCAAACCACTGACCTATTCCAATATATAATGTTCTCCTTATTTCTTCAACTTCATATCTCGATTCCGTCTTTTCCGATTGTAACCTGCCAAGCACGCCATCCGCAAGTTCCGTAGCAGATACGACTCCAAGGAGTGACCTCGTAGGACTTGCAGAGCCTTCACCAGAAGTACATCAACCTGTTAGTTCTTCTTCGTCTAGTTCAGGGGCCTCCACTCTGACGATGCTGAAGAACAACATCAAGAGCAGCACAGCGCAGTTACTAGCTTCTGCACCTTTATTCTCAACAGGAGGGTCCTCGTCTTCGTCATCATCTTCGAAGATGCAACTTGTTGTACCACAGGATAACGACTGTAAGGGTAAGCCTACTACTACAAGAACTACAGCGGCACCATCATGTGGTGCACGTGGAGAAGCAATCCCAGGTTTTTTCAATAATGCAGGTGGAAGAGCAAGAAAAGACCGCCATAGACCTCCACAACACTGGATAAGCACACAGAGTACCAAAATGCAGGAGCAGATGAGTCGTGTGCAGCGTGGATCGTCGTTTCATTTATGGATATTTAACACTCAAATGAACAGTACACATAGACTCATAACGTTCCATGTATAAATTAACACTCATGTACAACAAGACACTCAACAAGTTCATATCGTTCCTATGTAAGTACCTCATTCAATCATCAGTACCAGACCGACGTAGTGGGAGTTATACGATCCTCCATTACTTAGGCTGGCTAGACGACCTCTAATCCGACCACACGAAGGCTGCGACTGTATTCGCTGTAGCGTCGCACTTTTGGACAAGCATCGTGATGTGAGCAATTTCTCACACAGCTACATTTAAGAGTTTCGACATTGCATTCTTCACCACGATGCTTCACCCGTTTGCCAGTAGGAAAAGGGTCAACAAGGATGATCTGAGGAATGCGATATCGTAGCCTCTAATGCCTGTATTCCTACTGCCTGTGGTTGTTGCAGTTTGGTACTCGGAGTTTCTTTTTGAACAAGAAGATTGTGCCGACTCTCCGATTCCTCGGCGATATCAAGATGCCCACTCTGATCGTGCCCTTTAAGAGGACAAGCAGAGCAAGATTTTCGTTGCCGGTACTATTTTTAGGATAAAGACCGACGCACAGCGGATTCACTACTAATTTGAGGAGTGATGAATTTGAGTCGCAATTTGGATTGTCACTTCTCGTTTTGATCTACATCCTCTAGTCCTCCATGACTATCTCTTTCCCTGCTTCAACATTCGATGTCTTTCAGGTTCGCGATCCAGACGAAGTCCTCAACGAATACTATGGCAGAACCGGAGAAAGCCGGTCCCTGAGACGAAAGACCTATTGGGGAACAAAGGAGAAACCTGAGGTGAATCGCGGTAGAGAAGCACGGCTCAAGGAGATCAAATGTGACTGGCTGTGGCCCAACCGTTTGACTCCTCATTTAAACGGCCGAGGATCAAAGGCGAAGAGTGGTTCGTCGTCGAGTGGTAGGAAGAACAAAGATTTTAATTTCTGTAGTACCTCTAGTAGCAGTAGCACTAGCACTACCGGTCGTGGTAAAAATCCTGATAATGGAGCAGCGGCTGTTCCTTCTTCAGCTGGTGGTACAACATGTTGCACGCCATCCTCGTGTGGACCACGACGAGGCGACTACTCAGGCTTTGATGACTCTAGTGCTCCATACGATGAATACGAGGGCTTCGAAAATACAGAGGAAGGTGGCTACAGCAGTGAAGAGGAGACATCACCGGCCGCTGCAGCAGCTGACCTGTTCAACGATAGGAACAAAGTAACTGCTGGGAACAAAACCTTGTCCTCTAGATCTAGTAACGATGAAGATTACGGAGAAGCTTCAGCTTGCATTGATCCAGAACTAGTAAAGCATCTGCGGAATGCGTTGCCACGACCGCAGCGGAAGAGCAGTCGAGGAGATGGTGAAGCTCCAGACGAAGTTCCACCACCTCATCTCCCGTCTCAGAGGATGAGTTCCTCTCCATCTTGCGCATCATCTTCATCTAGTAGCTCTTCTCCGAAATTGACGAAACAAGAGGTAAAGAGCCTACGGTGGCATCGTTACAGAAGCAAAAAGCCAGAATTTGTCGTGAAGTCTGATCCGCGATTTTTAGCTGCACTGAGGAACCCAAAGCAGCGGGTGATATACTTCATACACGGAGGAGGGTATTTCTCAACATGGTAAATTGTTGGAGTTTCATACATTTGATTTGCACGGTCTTCAAGAAGATCATCTACTATGATAAGCAATCTTTTCTTGATTAAAGAACACTGGTTAGTATTTTTTCCGGCACAAGATTAGAGAGAACCTCTTCCAGGTACGTCGTCTGTTCCACCCAGACACATCGCGGCTTGGAGTACAATCTAGTGGACAAGACTGGCTATATGTTGTTCACGATAAACTATAGACGACCCCCAGACGTCGACATCGTTGTAGCGATAGACGACTGCTTGCGAGGGTACTCCTCCGCCATCTTTGCTTTTGACGAAGTATGTAGATGTACACATAACATCAACAGAACTAGTACCCAAACTACGCATAATGCTCTCTATATCCATGGACACGAAGCAAAGAGGAACTATATCCTCGATTACTACCACCTCTCAGATACCTCCACCTTACCCAAACGTTGGGCATCGATCCGTCTCGCATATCCTTATTCGGCGACTCAGCCGGAGGCGGTCTCTGCTTCAATCTGATGCAAGTGCTCAAGGGACAACTCTATGGTGGTACTCTTCACGCCCATGGGGCTCTGAGTCCTCTGAAATCATTCAGCAGTCGAAGAGCGACGTCTCTAGATGGCAGGCGAGGCAAGTACGCAAGGCGAGAGATGAAACAGAAAGTGTCAACGAGTCCGGATTTGCTGCACATAACCAGCACAACCTCTGCAGCCTCTGTGATACCTGCTAGTGTAGCTGATATGAGAATGAGTTCAATATCATCTCCCTTGCGTGGCAAAGAGGAGCAGGACTCCTACAACACACTGCAAAGCTTTTCAAGCGGTCAACAAGAAGCTGCAACAGCAGCGAGCGTACTTCCAGAACCTGCAGAGAAGCAGGGTCCCGGTCCCTCAATGGGACCTAGTAGTAGTAGTAGTACTACTACTACTACCAACTCATCTGATGAACATCAAACAGCTGCTAGACAAATAAACAAGAACAACTCATTTAGCGAGAAGCAGAAAACGAACACCAAGACACATGATATGCCAGGGATGCCACGAAGTGCAGTGTTCATTTCGCCATGGGTAGACTTCACCGCTTCGGAGAGTTCAGATGCGAGCTTCGTGCTGAACAAAAAATTAGACATCTTTCGACCAGAAGGGGTACTACGATTTTCTTGTGCGGATTTACCTAATTCGGCTCCGTGCTGCACAATTTTCTTGTACTAACAGTTTTTAGCTCCTTTACCTGATAATTTATCGTCTCCACATGCAGATCTTGAGAGGTGGACCTGACTGACACTGGTGACGTGAATGTGTATCATGTGATTATTTTTTCTTGACTCTAGTATGACTCATAAACTCGAATTCCAGGTAAAGCGAATCGCTAACATCGTTGCCAGCGGGAGTCGAAGTGTAGAGCATCTGTGGAACCCTCTCGTGTCGCCTACCTACTACGAGGATCTGGCTGGGTTTCCGCCTATACTAATCACTGCCGGCGAGCACGAACTCTTTCGAGATCAGATCATCGAGTTCGTGGATAAACTTAAGATGACTTTTTTTTATTCAGACTGCCAAATAGATTCGCATAAAGAGGACTTTTTTAGATTTCATTTTCTGGAGGAGCATGCAACATCTTAATTGGAAGTACGGTACCTACCATAATATTAGGATCCGCAACAGCAAATCATGTGGGTTCGTAGAATAGTCTCTCTCAAACCATACACTTCTTAAGGAGCATTTTGATCTTACTTAGGACAGTACTACCTACCATAATCCTACTAGGTAGGGGGAATTATTGCTAAGATGCTCCTGAAGATGAATTAATAAGGTAAAAATGGTAAGCTCTAACAAACTCAGGAGTGTAGGAGATGAGTTCGAAATAGCCGAGGAAACCAGTGGAGAGTCAAGCATGGAGGCAGGTGAAGGCATAGGACGAGCTGTAAGTAAAAAGAATCACGTAGAATTCGAATTATATCAAGATATGTGCCACGTGTTTGAAATTTTTTTTCCAGTTCAGGGCACTGCGGCAAGGGCATTCGATAGCATAGTACGCTTCTACCAAGAATAAAGCATATCAGATGTCGTGATCTGTTACTTTACAGGTTTAGACATTTAGATCTAGATCTACCCAAAGCAATTTCGCAAATAACAGGCTAGTAATACTATGGTGCTGTTGTAGCTACTAGACCAACTACAAGAATGATATTTCGTGGAGGTATAATTACTTCGACGTATCAGTCTTTGAACTCCATACAAGCAAATCTGAATCCGTAAAGACGCGATGCCTTATTTACGGAACGAGTTTATAGTTTTCAAGAGTTGTTTCAAGTTCACGTTACGCAACAACTACGACGCTTAGACATTTTTCCTTTTCCATTTTGCATATTTGACTTCCTTCTCCTTGTTCTCGATCGAATATTTATTGTTATGTCATCCCCTCGTAGAAATATCCAATACAACAGTTACGCCGGAAAGGGAGATGTGGGACCTAAGATTGTCCCACATTCGTTTTCGCCAATCGCGGCAAAGATGTTGAGTTTTGACTTTTATCAGCGCATTATCTTTTTCCATAAAAGAAAGAAATTACTTCCACTACCTAGTTAGTAGTTCCATCCCGCTAGCTTCTACCCATGGGGATGAATGAATGAATCATATTCTCCCTTTTGCACAGAAATGCCGCACGCAGCGCTCCACTGATAATCCTTCCCGAGTCGGCGCGTTGTCATGGGACGATGCTCATTTAGAGTGTAAGCACACATCACAGCTGGGTGGCTCTCTCACTGATGATTTGGTAGGAGCGGGTATCAAGCTATTATGCTGAATTTTGACAGTGATTTGCTAGTACTTCCAGCAAGCACTATAAAGATAAAATGTTGTACTCGTATTTTTTTGCAATCCCCTGAGTGACTACGCTGCATGTGCCTATCGCGCGTTGTAACTTTAAGTACTCACCTGATGGACTCAGACTGAGAGGTCTTATTCATCTGTCCTACTGTCATATGGACGCTTGCAGGGTATCTAGAATAAATCAACATCGACACATCTTCATCTTCTTTATTTTTGGTTCAATCTTTTTGATGTTGGGCATGTGTATAATTTCAACATAATTACTCTTGCTCTTACTCACACGGATAATGATAAAAAAAGGCAGCGCATCATATTAGAGATTTTCAAGAATATCAAACATGTTGGTTCCTTTCCATGTCTTGTCATCAAGTCATTTTCATTATTTGGAATCACGTAGGTCGATACTCGTTATCTTTCACTCATGTTGAGTCCCTTCACTCACGGTTATCTTTCACTCATGTTGAGTCCGAGACTCCTGCACCCTCACTCAGGAGAGATTGATGGTCTATACTAGATTTTCTATCATGAGAATTTATTCTATTCTAGGAATAGCTTCTGCATTTTCGAATTTATGTCCTCTGTATTAAGAGGCAACACACTAAAGACTCCTAAATATTACTGTAAACGACGTATGATATAATAGGGATACATGAACCACCTAGCATAGGCACAGCTAGATTCCCGCCAGTCCCTGTTTCTCTTCTCCCGTTGTATTGAGGGAAGTGAGCAGGAGATGACCCTCGCCTTGGAGATGACTCTCGTCTTGTTGTAGGCGTAGGTTCTGGATGAATTGACAGACTGGCTTGTGATCTGTCGACCGTTTGTATTACAGAGGCCTGCCTCGTCTGACATCTCGGACGACGTGGCTGCGGTGCCCTGCCCATCGGACGGCGGTCGTGAACCAGAAGCTTCGGGAAGCTAACAGGGACGATCTTGTTAAACGGAGAGTCTGGCAAACGGAGAGAACAAATGATCCCTTGACTGGCTGATTGATTTGATAATTTTGATGTACTGGATATCATATTTGTATCCTTGGTGCGAGGCTCGTATTTGGAAGACCACGTACAACCAGAGAGAAAATATGTGATTTTCGAGGAGGAGCTTTGTGAGACACAATTTGATAATAATATCCACAACTACCAAAAATAAAACCTATGCTGGCATACAAATACGTCTAGTACTCACTCAAACTCAATCTCAGTTAACGACCAAGAAAATGGACGCACGGCGCACTCTTTTGACTCCTTGTCACCGCAAGGCGCAGCGGAGGAAAATCGGAATGAAAACAACCTCAAATACGTCGTCATCCATCTTGATCATGTTCTTGTTCAAGAGTATCATCTTCTTCTTCACCAGCGATGTACTTCAGCTTCTCGGACATCTTCAAGATTCAAGGAATGTCATAATGGCAGGAGTCCACGCTCTTCCAAGTTGCGATGACTACATGAACTTTCTGATTACAAGGCCTCTCTGGTCACATCCTGCACATGAAAGTACGAGATTTGCCGAGCTCGTTCTAGAGCATGAAACGCTGCTAAGACTCGCAAGAGAAGCGGAGAAAAATGATGTTGGTGGAACACTGGGAAGAAAACAAAAACAAGACGATGTTGGTATTAGTGAAGCTGCTGTAGCAACAAGCGTCGACAGCCATAAAAATGATGAACAAGGTGGTCCTCCACAACAACAAGGAGTCGATGACCCTTCGCGACTAGGCCTAGACGAAGAACACGATGACAGAATCGAGGTCTCTCGTGAGATTCTACAGCAAATTTGGACCTTCACGGTCCAAAGCAAAGTGGGGCTATTGGAAATTCTGCCAGAGGACGTGCTTTTCGTCAAGCGGATGGCGGATGATAGACATCAGTCTGACCCGTGCTGGCAAGTCCTGAGCAGTTTGCTGGATCTGATGATGATTATGAATTAATATTTATTTATGATGGAACGTTAGAATGACGTAAAACGAGGTTCCATGACATTCATAACATGAAGGTGGCTGTGTATTCTCTAATAGCGTAAAACTTCCTGAGTATTTCCTCCTGGTATTCCGGAATAGCATCGATACTGTGAGTGGTGGCAGCAGCTCACTGGTGACTAGGGAGATGGTGACATGGTTTGTCCGATTCCTGTCCATGCAAGACCAGGTTTCGACTTTTGTCTCTACGTCAACTACATCATCATCGAGTGATGCCGTGGCAGGTGACGTAATAAACAACAACAAGAACAACTACAATATTACTGAGGACTCAAGAACAAGAACAGCAACAAGACCAAGAACACCTGGCAGCACCGAAGATGCAAGTAAGACTGCAACAGGGGGAAGCAAGTTCTTCATCGCTGCTTTAGAAGAGGGTCTCTCAGATTCTCAGCGCTACTACTTTTTGGGCCATGCATTGGATGATCTAGCAAGAAACTTAGCTAGTCTGGTTCGCTGGATGGACGCGAGGGACTCCGACTCGATGATCAGGAATCTAGAACTCACCTACGACGCTGAAGAAGGGCTCTCGTGGAAAACGCAACTGCCGAGGAATTATTTATGACAGATAATAGAAGTAGAAGTAGATAATTGAGATGAAGATTCAGAATTCTTTACCCAGCAGAAATCTCATAATCATCTTGGGTTTCTTTGAACAATGACAATCTTCAGAATATTATAGGTACGGCTACGATCAACAGCAAGACGCGGTGTTGATGTTTCGTTCCACACCATTCAAAATTAAAAAAAGTTATACCTTCATACACAGCAGATTCTGCGCCAAACGCCGCAGACGATGGTGTTATGCGACAAAAGGTTTCCCGCATCTTTCGCGCGGTTTTCGCCGTCCTAGCGTTTCTGTCGAAAGTTCACCATAGAGACCGCTATCACGACTGCATTTTACATCGCTACGAGACGCGGGAAGAGGGGTTTCTGGGTGGAAGCTCGTTTCCATCGGGAGATCCATTCGGAGGACAAGGTGGTTTGCAGGGAAACGTGTTTGAGTCCACCTCAGGGAAGACAGATTCCTTGGATGAAAAGAAAGGCCTGGAGACGAGGCCTGGACGAGTAGACGAAGACGATGACGACCCGCCAAGTGACACCGAAGATGAAGAGGATGAGTATGGAGCTTCTTTGGTCATGCAGTCGCAGAGCAGTCTGCCTTCAAGGTTGCGACGGATACAAGATTTGCTCATCGCGAGAGTGATGAATCCGGACACGAGTCCGCAGCTCATCCGCGAGGTGAGACTCCACCGACTATTGAATGGGAAGTTGGCAAGGAAAACGACGGAAGGTGGCGATCGCGGAAGCTCAACCACAGCATTAGAAGATGGCTCATCTACAACATCTAGTAGTACGTTAGCTACAGCAGCAGGTCAACGTCAAGGTAGTACAAAAGAAAAAGCCATGATGCCATTCGTCTACGACCCAGCAGAGGTGCCCAAGTTAGCATGCCGTCATCTCGCATCGCACGAGTTGGATGAAAGCTCTCTTGCAGCCGCGCTAGCAGGTGATACGGCGTTCGCGCATGGGGGTGCATCAACGGCACCTGCAGTAGTAGTGCCCGACGACCAGCACAGCACTTCTCCGAGTACTAGACGTGCAACAGGAGCATCAACGATTTCATCGTTCTCTTCGTTGCACGACAGTGCATCAGCTAGTACGACTGCAACTAGCACTGGCAAGTCCACCCCCTTTTACAACAACCACGTCTTGTACAGCGACATGGCCAGAGTCCGTAACGCCTTGGAAAAACGAACAGACAGTGTAGATCCTACCTTATTGGTCTATGACTTCATTGCCCGTGGTCGGAATCAGTCATTCATCTCTAGTGGTGGCGGTGGAAGTAGGACATTCCGTGGTCGAGCCGCGCCAACAATTTTGCGAGAACTCTTCATGGACACGTGTAACAACGTCTTTTCCTTGTTGGACGAGCGAGGGCTAACAACGCAGGTCAGGGACGTGGTTATCAATAGCGTGGACAGTGCAAGTAATTTGTTGTTGCCGAGGAGGAGAGTGCTGAGAGAAGCACTGGGTGTACTAGGACTAAGGCAGGGAGAACAGCTTCTCGAGCAACAGGAGCGAGATTCTTCTAGTTCTAGTCCTTTGAGCGGTGTCGAAACGGAATCGTCAACGAGAACAACATCCTCCACCACCACCCCATCACTAGAAGTTGGAGTCGGTACTACTAGAGTACCAACAGGCAGTCCCCAAAAATCCACCAAAAATCTAGCAACAGTGCGGTCTATCCAGACCCCTGTTCATGTGCCAAGAAGTCGAGACGTCTTATCGGATGCCGTACGCCAAACGAAGCTTCTACATTGCCCACAGCCACTTTTGGATGCTTTAGAGAGGATAAACGGCGTGGATCTTTTTGTGGAGGTCGGCGGCTATCATGGAGACTGCGCGGTTGCTGTAGCTGCAACTCGGCTTGTCCGCAAGACTTAAGGCTTCCCCTAATAAATCCATCTCGTGTAAAGGGATCCCTCAAGCTCAACCCGTGTATAGGGATCCCTCACCCTCAACCGTATGCGATATACTACGGGAGTACTGACGCATACGCTTGCGGGAATTCCACAGGGCTGAACTCGGGAGAGGTCTAAAAGACTGTAGTAGCGATTGATGGTAACGCGGCTGCCTTGGCCGCCTCTAGGCGCAGTCTAGAAGCAATTTCACAGGATTGGGCTGAAAGACAAGACAGGAGAACTACTTCTAGCACAGGTGGTCCACCTAGCCCTCTTGTTGTTGATGCGAGCGATAGTACTACTACAACTTCTGGCAAGGATTCTTCACACTCATCTTCTACTTCTAGGCTCCGTGCAATAGCCTCAAATCTCTTCGTAGCTGGAAGGGAAGGAAGATTCCGTTTGCGGAAAAGCCATCGTGACCCTGATTCTGAGTCGCTTTTTCAGCAAGAAGGAAGTGAATCTTATAGCAATTTCGCTGGACCCAACCTTTTTCGCTCTGCTAAATGGGAAAAGTGTGAAGACAGTGATGAAGATGTAAGTACTGGAAGAACTTCTAAAGCCGGAAATACAGAAGAAGAAACTCTTCAAAGTCGTGGCACAAGAACTGGCTCATCATCATCCGCTTCCTCATGGCCCTGTATCGATTTCACTACACTGGACAAATTTGTGCGCAAGCACTTGCCAGAAGCATTCGCTATCGATGATCTTAGAGACCCTGGCCAACGCGGACAAGCGCGAGGGCTGTCGCATCCAAGAGCTTCCTCTTCTACATCGGGAATACCAATACGACCTTCTACATCTTCGACTAGTACCCCTGAAACTGATGAAACCCTTGATGGTGTCGACTATGATGGAGAGTCAATAACTCGTTATATTTTTCCAACCGGAGGACGAGTAGCGTCGTCACCTCCTGTTGACGACTCTTCTATTACACAACATCAACAAGAAGCCTCCACCCTAGAACAGCAAGCGCACGAAAGTGATGCCACCACTAGAAGCGCAGCTTTGCGACTCAAGGTGAGCGGGAACGAGGACGAAATTGTCTCCAAAGGAATGCTGTCTCTCTTGCGCAGACAGATTTTCAGGATAATCCACATTAACGTGACTAAATGGTGCACCTTGAGGCGGTATGTGGACATCTTCAACAAACGAAAGGGAAACACGCGCTCTTCTAATATACAAGCGGATGCGTTTCGCCCTTGTGTGGATGACATAGTGGACATCTTAGCAGATTTCGGCTTAAGGCAATAACTTACAACTACCACTCAGTGCTATAAATTGATGGGATGCAGCAGCAGCAGCACTTCTGCAAGTGCATGCTTATGCTTGGATAACTTTAACTGTACGCGGTCGTGTAAAAGAAAAATCATGCTGGATAAAGTCAAGAGACCAAGAAGCTCGTCGTCCATTTCCACCTCCTCACTCTAATAAGATACGAAATTGAATCCGTCCAGAAAACGGGCGCCGAAGTCTCCTTTTTCCCCAACATTCCCGAAGTCCCTTGGCATGGGTACAACATTCTCGCTGTGTTGGGTATTCCGTGAGGATCGTCATGCTGAAATTTCAATATCCCATGAAGAAGATCTGCATTGAGTCACTCCTTCGTTAGCTATGTTGGGTAATCCTTGAACAAGATCTGCATTGAGTCACTCCTTCGTTAGCTGTTTTTCGGAATTTACGAAGTCAGGAGGGCCCTAGGACTCTCATTCTTCGAGTCGGCAATGAAGAAGTTGTAGAAGTTATCAGGTTTTGTTCAGTTGGTCTTCATCACTGTATCTATTGCTTCTATTGATGATTCGGATTTCACCGATAAGACCTTAGTTTTGATTTTCATATTGATACTGTTTGAAGGAGTACTTAAATTTTTTCATGCTAGAAGTAGCACTGATGTTGTAAGTGCCTAGTTTGACTTTGAAGTTCAAGCTCTTTTTATGTACCGACGATTTCATATCGAACCAACTGTAGAAAGATTTTTCTTGCCAACTATATGCTTTTGCTCTAGCATCAGTGGCTACTGAGAAAAGCTGCTGACCCTGTGTCTGGCTCTGAGGTGTGAAATTTGCCTCTATAATTAAACATAACTACACAGTGAAAATCAAACTTTGACTCCAGGCTGCAGATGTTTTTTCATCTTTGCGAGAAAGCTAGAAATATTAACTCTCCTTCAATCGATCTAAACAATTCACTCTAGCTACAACACGAAGATGATCAGCATCCACATCCGCCTGACTATCTTCATAAACTTCGAGATCATGCGCGTCATGGATGATCCGTAGAGCACTCAACATAAAATGATCACGCTACAGGCTCTTCTTGATCACATATTTATATATAATGATCAATCTGGAATAAGATGGAGATCTATCGGAAAATGGAAGATCTACTATTGCAAAAATGAAGATCTACTATTGGAAACAAGATAGAGATCTACTATTGGAAAAATGAAGATCTATTGCTGTGCTCGATTCTCATGATCCGTGAAGATCAATTGTGACTGTTAGGCTCGATTGTTCCAGAATCGAGTACCTTAGAGTTTGAAACCCTTGAGAGGTCCGCACGACGTCAATCTGTCTGAGCGAGCTGCTTGCTTCTACTTCTCTGTTAAGAGTTGAGCCACACGAATGCCAAAATTTGGAGCGATTTAGGTGAGCGTGAGTAAGTTGCAATCAGGTGATTAGCTTGGACAATATCAATAGTTTGAGGAATTATATTTATAGAGGAAAAGGAATTGCAAAGCACTGAAGATGCACACGCAAGAGACTGCCACTTCTCCGAATTATATTCAGGTTTTGCGTTTTCAACACTTGAGACTTCGTTCGCCTAAAAGATTTTTTTTCGGTTCGCTGAAAAACAAATAGTTCTTGTTGTATAAGGAAGGATATACTGATACTCAGTCGTGTCCCTCGGAATCAGTCTTACTCCTGCTCAGATTATAACTTCATTATATTGGTGGTTCTTACAACTCCTGCTCAGAAGATTATAATCAGTTTACTGTTGGTCGTCGGCCGTGCTTGTTCTATTTTCACTATCTCGTAATTGAGACACACATACTGAGTATTTCACCTTCCTGCTTGATCTTGATCTGTCCTCTTGTCTTACTTGGTAAGTAAGTCTTAGCCCCGTCTTACCTTCCGTAAAAATGGTGCGTCGGTCGTTTCTTCTCCTTCCGGCTTTGGCCTTTCTCACAGGCGGAGCAGATGCTGTCAAGCTACGCGTGGTCGATGGAGTGGAAAAGGAGCGCAGAGCCCAGGAAAGCGAACGCAAACGGGTGGAGCGGAAAATCAAAGAGGAACGCACACGGTTGGAGCGGGAAGCCAATGAGGAACGCAAACGGGAGGAGCGGGAACGCAAACGGTTGGAGCGGGAAGCCAATGCGAAACACAGACAGCAGGTGGCAGCAGACAGGAAGAGGGAACGCGAACTGCAAGAACGGAGAGCGCGTGACGGAGGAGCCCCCCAGGGAGCGGCCGCAGCCGGGGTGGTGGACACTGCAGCTATAATTGCGGATGCTAATCGCGTAATAAATAGGATTGGCAGAGAAGCGGGGCTTAATCTTGATCTGCCCGAAGCTGCTCCATAGACACCTTGGAGACATCAGATGATGCTTGAAGGCTCGCACGATGTTGAGCTGGTGTTTTTAGTGCGGAGGTGGCACACAACGTTGACCGCAAGAACTTCGTTCTTTTGATCTTTGACACCTTTCGTTTTGTCATTTTGGAATTGGATGTAGCATGTGTTTTAGATGTATTCGCAAAGTGTTCCGCTGTGCTTTGTGTCTTGCTGAACAAGAAGACCTATCGCTTCGTCTCTAGAATATAAAAACAAAATAAAATCTAAAAGCCAAAAATAAAAATAGCATATCCTATATAAAGAGAAGATATCTGCCGAAAAATGATGTACCAAGGCACAACGCGATCCTTCTGCGTTGGAATGTTGTGCTTGTGAAGGTGGTGAAAATAAGGTGAAGAAAGTGAAGATGAGATGAAGATTATTAACATGATGCGGTGACTGTAATTGATGGTGGTACTCAGATGATAGTGATTAGGTTTTTAGATTATTGATTTGTTGTCCTCTTGGACCCCTAGGTTGACACTTTTTAGAAAAATAGTCAAGCATCCATAGTAGGCCAACCAATCACTTCACTCGCAGCGGAGAAAATTCCTAGCGTCACCTGAGTCGGAGCCGCGTTTTGGTTTCTGACTCTAAAAAACCTTTCTCTCTCTCGTCGTCTTTCCAACATGCAAACAATCAAAAACTTGTAGGAAAAGTTGATGAGAAGGCGCATCCGCATAAGAGGAAGCAGTAACCTGAGCGCCGCGAGCACTGGGCTGGAGCTTATTAATTTGGAAAGTTGATGTGTTCTGGAAAAGTGAAAATAAAAGGAGAGCTTGACAAAAACAAGAACATCGACAAGCTTGATCCGATCAAAGTTGGCGCAGCCGTTCTTGCGCAAGAGATACTGAAATAGAGTGAGTGACAATCATCTGTGGTTTGTTGGCTTACACTATGACTATGCATGATTGTGCTACCTGTTGAACTACAGCATGCTAGCCCTTACTTACTTGTTATGGCGGTAGCTGGAAATCACGCGCGTGGTAGTCCTTACTAGCATGGTCTCCGTAACAAACAAGAACAGAGGAGGACTCATTCACATTTATACGAGAGACGATCCAGGGAGGACGAGACAGTACTAAAGATCAAAGCTGTTCCATATCGCACGCTCAGTAGAATCCTGAAGCCCTTCTGAGGCTTTTTCTTCAGTTCGTTCTTTGACATTAAGTCCGAGGTCCTGGTGTGAATAGAGAAGAGAGCATCTTTTGCAGGAAAAGGTCGTCTACGTTCGCGCCTCTCTTCCAAGGTCATAGAGGGTGTGAGTGACGATCAAAAACAAGGATATCAACAGCATATGACAGACAAGACGAGGTGCGTGAATCTGTTCGCGTTCGACCATAAAACAGACCGTTTTCCTTGACCATAAAGCAATCTGTGTTGCACCATAAATTCGCGTAAAGGAAAGGGAAAGGGCGGCAAAGGGAAGGAGAAGTACTTATTTCTTCTTGTCCCCAGACGAAGATTTTTGGGATTGGGATTGCGTTATCTGGACTAAACGTATGATAGAAAACTCGGAACCACAGGCAGCTGCCCTTCTTCTAGGGCGAAGATTTACAGGAACACGTAGTAGGTCGTTTATTAATCGAAAACTTTTATGCTGGATAAAATCAAAACCAAAACGAATTACATTAGTGTTGCATACGATTGACAATCTTCTATCCGCCGCGCCTGCAAGTGATTACATTCCTAGAAGTATTATGGAATCAAGAGTGCTCGTTTTGATTAGTTGGACGGTAGGCATTTTCCATCTTTAGCTTCGGTCAGTATGATGAGATCACGATAGAAGGAGAAACAATCTTCACAACGAACTAGTTTGTAACAAATTATAGGAGCGGCGGAAAGCCAGCGACTGGACCGAATATGCCGAAGGAGCGAGTACAGATGAAGGACGATCCCTCTCCACCTCAAAATATAGGAGCTCAAGGCAAAAGGACTCAAAGCAAAGGAGCCAAGCGTAAACGAGTAGCACAGACGGGGCGAAATTTATTTTATTCTTCAAGCTAAGGCAGTCTGCACTGAACTTTGTGCAATGTTGTTCGCTATAAAGAATCGCTGTTCTTGATGTCGTGTTCCTTCTCTAAATCTGTCCCGCAGTTCTGTCCACCGCGATCATGATTGAAAGTTCGTGTACTCCTTACACGATCGTGGGAGTGCTTAGTGTCGTGCTTCCACGTCCACCATAATACATAGACCACTTCTTCATCTTCTACCTCCATGATTATGTTGACACTAGCAAGGTGAAGGGTTTGACCAAACTAGAAAAACATGGAGTGAGTGTTCAAATTCTTCTTGCTCTATTGTATTCCTACATGATGCTTATTTCTGCATGCAAGGTCCGGAACCCACCACTAGAGCATCTTCTTCTTCTTCGCGATCATCAAGAATTCAAAAAAAAAGAATAGCTGCCGCGTCCGCGATTTATCCACACGCACGGAGGCAGGTGGAAACTTCTAGTACAATAACAAGATCAAGACGAGGAAGGACATCAAGCTTAAGTAGGTGAACAGTCTCGTCCCTGAGTACTATAACATCAAGGAGCTTAATGAGTAGAAGATGAACAACCTTGTTCGCGAGTTGGACCTCGACGGAAACGGAGGTGGATCGGGTGCCATCCGAAGCACCTCCACTGCTTCCAAGGACTTTCAAAATTTGGTCGAGCACACAATCGAAGTTATGCCAGTAGACTACTATGTGTCGTGCACGTGCTCGTCTGTAAGTAATACAAGTAGTACCACCACGAGTTTTCTATATTTGCGGAATGCACTCTAGTAGAGTAGCCTCTCCCATCAATCCATGTTCTTCCGCATCCACATTTATTCAGCTATAATCTGCTTCGAGATCTTCTCGTCAGACTCAACACGCGCACTTTAAGATCACATCTATCTCGAATACAATGCCCCCAAAAGAAGTACTTGGTCCATACCCTAGAAGAAATGTGAAGAAGTACTATAATTCGCTCACCAAGTAAGAGGAGGGGGTCCCCGAGAGATATTGAGTCAACAAGAATGAGGAGCAAACCAGCATAGTGTTAGTATTCATCTTCTGCGCGTTAGCCATCATAATGATAGCACTATAGTACTCAACAAGAATGAGAAGAACTCCTCATCTTCTCTAAAAACGCCTTTTGTCGACCGTCAGAAACAAGTGGAGCGCCAGAGGCAGTGAAGGATGTGCACCAGATTAATTGCGAGGTTCGTCAGGATTTCGATGACGTTGCTCACCAGACCGCAGCAAAAGTTATGGCTCCCGAATCGTCCATTTCGAGATGGTACATCCTGAAGAAGCCTACCCCAACGCCCCATCTTCAGAAGCATCGTGGTGGGAGGTGTCCGTTGTCTCAGATAGTGACTGCACCTTGAAGAAGCTTTTCAAGAACAGGGAAAGACTTTCACCGGGATTAGTTCTCATCTTCAGATAGATATAGAAGAACCGCTGTCCTGCTCTAAAAGCCCTCGCGAACTTGCGCAGTTACGCAATCAGTTACGATTGCTCGACCTCGAATACAAATGGGTTTTGGATAAAGGTACTTAGTGAAAAACAAAGCTTATTAATGACGGAAAACGCCATTAAAGCATTACATTATCCGTCAGGAATTTGCTCATTCTTTGATGCTAAAGCAAATTGTATGTTGCATGTATATTTTTGGAGGTTCATTTTTATTAGCGCATTTGTTAAGATGGATCATTGATGGATGGCATGCTTGGACTAGAAGTAATGTTGTACTACTCAACGCCATCATCTAGTACTTCTAATGTTATTGTTAAACTTGTATTCCATTAAATAATTATGTTCATCTTGATCACCTCGCAACAGAGCGCGAGCAGCAGCAATTGGCTCGTACCGAACTTGCCGACTTGGCCTCACCCAGAGCAGCGTCATCAAGAACTGAGATCGAACCCTACCACCCTTCATCCAGCAGCTCCTACAGCAAATTTCCTGTTGTATCTCTATCCTTGACTTTGGCTTTGCCATCTTCTCTTCCTCCTCTTCGATTTGCTATCCTTAGCTACTCTGCAGCACGATTTCTCATCCGATTAGATGCGACCCTTTTTACCTTATCTACTCTACATGTTAACTCTAAAACTCATCAATCACAACCAATGTCATTAACTTTCTCAGACAAGGCAACAACCTCACCCTCCTCACTCCATTGTGTGCGTTTTCGATTAGCGTATCTAACTGCGAGGTAAGTGAAGTTAAATGAGCTACAACCTAAACTGATCGCCACTATTTTCCACCACAGAAATTGAAATCTTCTTCTTCTACGCCACTTCTTCTACGATCTTTCCTCTTCTACCCCACCGCCAGGACCCAAGTGGCATGTCCGTGAGTGAAAAGATCTCCTTTCTTCGTGGTGAAATTGAGAGTACGACAGTCCAGCACAAGGTGTATGCGCACATGAAAACGAGGTTGGAGAAGGAATTGCTGATTCTCACGGAAAAAAACGGCATACTGGAAAGACATTTGCAGAGAAAAAAGAGAGAATGGTACGGCCTAAAAATAAAGATAATACAGGGAGAATTGAAGATGGAGCATGGTACGCTACTAACTAAGTAACCATTTTTAGTTGATGTCAGCACTGGTACTAGCATTAATACTTCTTGTTATTCTGCTGAAAACACCGTGCTGCAAAATTCGTACAAGAGGCGATACCCCGCCTTCGTGTACTCTCAAGACTTTAGTAGGTAGTCGTAGACTTTATTCGTTTGCAGCAGCACCAGCAGCAAGATCATTTGCAGTGTCTTCTAATTACCCGACAAAAGAAAAGAGGAGGTGCGAAAGGTGGAACAGTGTAGAGAAACAGAGGTAGTGGCCCTCTTTGAACGAACGAAAGCAGATGCGCAGAAGGAGTTTACTCTGAAACAACAAGCGGCCCAAGCAATGTTTAGGACATTGCAGGATAAGTTATGGATCTATGCTCTAAATAAATGAACACTGTCTTTGTGACATTCCAGTTTTTCGAATCACGTCTTCTGCACGTGAATGAATCACTTGCAGCACTTCTAAGTACATAGTAGTTCTTACAACGTTGAGTCATAGTGTCAACTAGTAGTACTAAGTAATAACTAGAAAAATATTAAGCAGATTCATTGATTGAAGCGGCGCATTAACAACTTGAGTTCGAACCTCTCTAACGGCTAAGAACACTTTGAAACGGCGTTTAGATTTTCAACGATGGCGGCGGGACCTTGCCTTAGAAGCGGGAAGTGAGAGCTTTCACTTTCGTGCCGGTCGTCTCCGGAAGCTGTGGGCATTGGAAAAACTTCAAGGCAACTACCTACAGAAAGTCATCTTCTCGCAAGTGGAGTTATGAGCGAATTTCTTAAGGTTAAGCGTAGATCTGCCAGATCTTGTAGAAGGTGGGTCAGACATATGTGAAGCCATGCTATCAATATTTATAATTCTTTTTGATTCGTATTCCGCTGTTATCTTTTGCTGTTCGTTGTGTCGTGAGTGTAGTGTATAGACAGGAGATGCAACGAACAGAAAGTATACGGGTAATCAAAGCTCGATTTACGAAAACATTTTCACAGATGAAACTCGGAGTACTATGCCTAGTCTACTAGACGCCGCGACAACATCCTGGTGGCTCTCTTCTTCTAACCTATAAAAAGCAAGAAACAGAGGAAGGATTTCTATTAGACTTCTAATTCCTAAGAGCCAAGAAACAGAGGAAGGCTTTCAGAAGATCCGAGAGCTGACAGGATTAACAGACGTGATGGAGATCGTGCACCGACTCTTAGATCGGGACATAGACCAAGTGCAACTGAAGTCTGCAGTACATTAAGGCTTGCAGCCCTCTAGAAGACGAGGATACAGATAAATATGTTAAGTAATTCATACTGAGAATATGCATACTGGAGCATCTCTAAGTACCAGACGCCGAGACAAGATTGGAACATTTGCGTGAGGAGCACGCTAGGTTCAAAAACGACACTGAAGATCTTACTAGTCGCGGATTCTCTTCGAAAGAGGACGGAATGGAGATGGCAACGTATAGGGAAGTAGGGCAACAAAGAAACCTATACGAGGAGTTGATTAAGAAAGGTACTCCAGCTTTTTAGTCTGATGCAAGAAAGATAGAAGTGATAGATCCCTGAGTGGTTGTAGAGAAATTTTTTAGTGGAGAAAAAAACGAAGTGCAACGGGCAACTGAGAATCTTCGTACCACATTAATTTATTATAGACATGTAGAATCTTAGGCAGATCGCCGACTAGATTCACAATATCAGTAGGACACGCAGCGGACTGTAGTCCTACTTACAACTGTTGCGATAGACGTGTGACGGACTGTAGTTCTACTTCCAACTGTTGCGATATTCCATGAACACCTCCTATCTCTCTCGTCCTGTAACCTCGACAGATACTGAGCTCCGTGGATGGTTCAAGCGGCATGCAGTTGCGCGAACGAAGCTGGCTGAAGTGCACAGGACAGTTGAACATTTGAGAAGTTTCATGTTTCGAATATGCAAGTCGTTGCCGTTGAAACTAACACTACCTGATGGCACAGTGAAAAGCGTTTTCACGCAAAATGACTTGGTATAATTTTCATGTTAGTAAATGTAGCTTCTAGTTTTCAGTTCTACTGACCACCCTGTTCACACATGACTTGGTTTAATGCAGATAGACTAGACGAGCTAGAGATTGATATCGGCACAAGAAAGTGAACAAAAATAAAGTCGAGCTGATACTTCATGAAGCCCATTGAACCCTCCTAACACCTTCTCTTCCTCCAACCAATTCTCCAATCATTACCAAACTGCTCCATCCTTGTATACAGATGAATCCCTCCGAGCTATTGAAGTGTTATCGAGTGCTTAGTGGTGTCGTAGAGCAATTTTTGCGCAGCGTGCTCGCAGACAACACTTCAAAGGAGCAAAAGTTTCAACGTATCGCATACGCAAAAGCTAAAGCATACCACGAGCAGTTGAAACTTTTGAATGACAAGGAGTTTCTCCGATGCAACGTCCGCAGTACGAATCATGCTATCAACACGAATCATGCAATTGCACAGGACAGTTAAGGCCACTCAGTCACTATCTGCGGTTGCACTTAGGTAGCCCCTCTACCTCGCGAATAGGTACATCAATCAATCAATCAATCAATCTCCCTGGGTTCCCCTCAGAAGTCAAGGGGAATCAATCAATGAATCTGCCTGGGTTCCCCTCAGAAGTCAAGGGGATTATTTTAGGGGAGAAAAAGGGAACGAGCCATCAATCAATCATTTCATGATCGATAGTAGTTTTTAGTGCAGATTTACTAGTCGTGCTAAGACAGCAGAGACGAAGACAATGAGTTCCTAGTACGAGAACGCGAAGTGCGTAAACGTGCAGGACGTCTTGCTGCGGATCAACTGACTCGTGCAGCCCATAAAGCAGGTGGAGGAGGCCATAGTTGTAGTGTTGATCCCCTTCTCCTGACGACACAAACGCCTAGGTCAAGAACAGGCGTGAAAAACAAGATGCTTTCCAGTAGCACAGCTGGTCCAAGCCATAGAACGCCAAAGCACCTAGTGGGAGCTGGGGACCATGATACGAGAGAAAAGTATTTTGAACCATTTTTAAGATTATACTTAGGTGGTAGTTCTTCTTAGAAGTAATGGTTCTTACTTCATCATCCATTGGATGAGATGATGACGAAGGCCAACTTGTACAACTGGTAGTGCAATATCTTCTACTTGTGGACGAATATATAAGTACACTCAAAGATAATTACAACTACAGCAGAATTTTATTTCAGACTTACTTTACAACTGCTCCACCCTACAGACCTTCGAAACGAATATCATCAACAAAAATAAGTCGAGACGTGGAAAAATACCTACTGGGAGAGGGCTTGTATGCAGCTTGGCGACCCGGTGGCTCAACAGCAGACGACAGTCTACATTTGAGTGGGTTATGGCGTACATTTGATTGAAGATGTTACGAATTATCTACGAATTATCTCCTGTACAGTTTCGATGGATGGATTTTTTTTGATGCAAACAACTAAGCTAGAAAAAAGCAGCACGGCTCTTTTCGCTAATTCCAACAGGCGGAGACAGTACTAGAGGAGGACACATGGTTGGAGCAGGAAATACCTCCAGTTCGGCATACAACGTCCAACATGGAGGAGCCCCTAGCGGTACGGAGACAACAGGCCTTGGCGCTTGGCTCAACCGGAACTTCACTAAAGGTAAAGATGGCGCTAGAGAAGAGCAGCCTGCTTCTAGGACTGAGAATAGCGTGAATGTGCCGCCAGGCGCTCTTCAGCCAGCGGCAGCACCTTTGGCGAATCCGTCACCGAACCTGAGACGACGGCAAAATCGGAGAACCTGAGAAGACGGAAAAATCGGAGAGCCTCAGAAGACGGCAAAATCGGAGAGCCTAAGAGTCCGGCAGATAATTTTACGTGTCTGGCAGAGAATATTCGACCTGCTCTTCATCTACTTGCAGTTTCTTCTGCAGGGCCAATGGACTACTTCTAAACCTACATACATGCTGCAGCTATCTTCGTCTCCGAATGTTGATACTTCCCAATCCCAAGGACGAGTAATATTTAATTCATGTTGATCTTTTTTATGATTTCATTTGAGTTTGAAAAACTTCTGTGTATAAGCCCCGAAGTAGCTATGTCGCTATAATTGCCATGTAAGTGTATTGATGATATAATGAGGTCAATAATTTATTGGTCCAGAGTTTCTGCAATTTCTTTTGCATAGAATGAAGCGAATAAGCGTCGCCGGTAAATCTTAGCCAAGCCGAAATTTTCAAAAACAAGTAAAAATGACTTGTGTTCCTAGAACGTTTCGTCGGCGGAAAAACTTCAGTGGAGTCTACTAGGCGAATAATGGCGACAACGCGACGCATCTACGCGCCCGCTGGAGTCAGGCCACTGCCTTCCACTTTGCTCGCGCTGTCCAACCGGGCTGAGGGTGTGCGCAATCGCTAGAACTACAAAACAACGCGGGCGCCCCGCGGTAGGCTTGACTTTTGGGGGGTGCTGCCCATCCCCCAACTCATCGAACCTCCGCCGGCCTCGATTGACACGCGCCGGGCCGCGTCTGTAGCGGCGCCCTTGTGCTGGACCGGTGCGCCGGCTCCCGTGCTGCCCCTGGCGCGGCGGTTCCATTGTGTGGCGGCGGCGGGTGCGTAGACGGTGTCACGCGGCGTGGCGCACGCGCCTGGTCATGGTATGGGCCGGACGGGGTGGCCGTGCAGTGCTTCTTCGCGCCGGGGTGGATACGTGGATGCGCCGTGAGGCACGCAGACAGCCACAGGGTGCTGCCCCGCACCCCAGGCCTTGGGGCCGATTTGCCTAAGCCGTGACCAGCAGGGGAGCGGCAAGTCTCAGGAAAATCTCAGTTCTGAGACTGAAAAAAGTCTGGCGTTCGAGCTCGAACGCCAGGATTTGAGAACCTTCGACGACGACCATGGCCAATTTCTGGGACTGTTCAAAAGTCTGGCGTTCGAGTGGAACCCCAGAGGTTTTTCCTGTCCAAACACTGACGCAGCAGGGGCCACTCGTTCGGTCTGTGGACAGGAAAACACCCTGGCGTTCGACTCGAACGCCAGACTTTTGCCTCCTCTCAGAAATCTAAGGAGCCTAGCATCGGGGGTTTTGAAGTCCTGGCGTTCGAGCTCGAACGCCAGACTTTTTGCAGGCGCGGGACTGAGAATTCAACTGTCGGAGTTGAGGGGGTGCCTCCCTCGGGCTTGGAAGTTGGTGGCGCAGGCTCTGTTCTGTGTTTGTGCGGGATGCAATGGGCGGCCCATTGTTGGGCCCAAGCTCTTCCAAGGTCGCTTTGCGTAGCACTCGGCCTCTCATTGTCGTCCAGGGTTGGGGAGCTGAATTTCTTTGCGGCGTAGCGCGCTTGTTTCTACTTGCTCGGGGAATGGGAGTAGCTGCTGGAGGGGTACGCGCCGTCCTGACTGCTGGCCGTGTGCTCTGGGGTTCGGGGATTATGCTAAGGGCCACATGCTGGGGGGGCTCTTTATCGTGTGGCGCGCTGACGCTCACCGGGGCGGGGCGTCGGCATCTTGATCCCTCTGCAGCCTTGGCGTCTTGTTAGGGTGTGCAGCGCCGTCCATGGGGTCCCTGCCATGCCCCTTCGGGCCTTGTTGGTCTGGTTTCGGCTGGACGGTTCTAGTTTCCGATGTTTGAAGGTAAAAGCTCCCCGGTTGATATGACTGAAGTTTTTCCGCCGAAATTAGGTGCTACTCCACGAGTCATGTCATTTCGTCCGAAACCTAAAAGAGGTGCTCTCGTTTGCTTTCTGAATCTCAAACAATAACAAGTGAACGTGGAAAACGTACTAGGATCTGAGGACCATGTGTATCTGCGGATCTTCGGCTAACCCTGTCAAGACTATGTCTCGTTTTGCTGCATCAAATTTTGCTAGACTGAGTTCTTTCACTTTCTCGTCGTGTTTGGAGTTAGTAACTCCATCTTCTATTGTTTCTCTTTCTGCATTTCTGCGTAACAGGTGTGCACTAGATAGAGCGAGCACAAAATTACTACCATCTTGATGTATTCTGCTGCTGAGTTCTTGCTCGTGTTGTTGTTCTGCAAGATTATACGATATAGAAAACATCATCACGCATAAGAAGATGGCACAACTTGCTGCCACTGTGTCACGACATTGTTCACTCTAGGTGAAACTGTGTTCAAGCTACTTAGACTTCAGAGACATGATCTAGAAATAAATTCCCTTTCTTCTTGAGATACAGTGTTTGTTCAGTCTGTGATCGTCGAGCTTGCAGAGGCTGAGGCGAAGGAGTGAAAACGAGAAAAGCATAGAAATGGTAAACACTCTGTCCAAGTGCAAGAGTTCTGTCTCTTGAGTGCCCGAGCGAACGCGTCTACTGAGGTCTATAGTTTCTGTCTGTACATCCATCGTGATCTGTCACGTGTGAGTTGCAAATTTCTCATGCTTCAATATTTCTCTCATGGATTGCGTGTGCCCAATGTCACCCGTGTTTTTCCTGCTTGCGTCCTGAAATCCTGTTTTGAATTTTCTTCTGGACGATTTTTGTCCATTGTAATTAAGACGCGCAAAGTGGTCTAGCGTTTTGAAAGTTGTTTATCTACATCTTGAAATGCAATTGCAATAATTAGTCGATTATAAGATTATTTGCTCCTCAAAGCAGCACACTCTGTATTTTTCATTTGTTGATATCTTCAACCTCCTTCCTTGTTGCTTCTACGTCATTTTGATTTCATCTTGTGGATACAGTCGAAGATTACACAAAAAATAACCAAAAAAAAGATGTCCTTGTCAAGCAAAATTTCCAATTCCCCTAGTGTGTATCGCGCTAAGTCCCGCGGTCCGTCTGTCCTCTCGCCGTCGTCAAGGGCTAAGCAGGTGCCAAGTCGTAGAGAATCGCATCGCCGTCTGGTGCAAGAAGCGCAAAAGCAGCTTGCTGGGCTGACAGGGGAAAAACGCGCAGAAAAACTCCGAGAATTACATCCGAGAGAATGTTATGAAGATCATGTTCGACGTATACTTGTTTTGGGTCAAGAACGTTTTCCATAATTGTTAGTTTTTGTATTCATATTCATTGTGAGCACCTCAGCTACGTCCGATCTTCTTCATCTTTCCGCGACATTATGGTTGCTCTTCTAACCTCTGGCCATTTTTCAGCAGATCGACGTCAATAGCGATGGCTTCGTTTCAAGAGACGAGTTACGACTGATGTGTCAAAAACTCGGAATTCATCCAGACGCGGCCAAGCCGATGGCCTCAGCGTTGTGGAATAGCATTGTAGAGAGCAGGGAAGCCAATAAAGAACATGCTGTAGAGGTGGACACTGCTACCTCAACAAAGAAAGGCACTGGTCCTACCGACGAAGAAGCCGGCGCTTCTTTTGAGAGCATGCTAGAGATGTTTGCGGAGATATCAGCTGTTAGAAACATGGCTAGGGAAAAGCAGTGGAGACGAACTATGGGGATAGGAGTGGCTGGAAACGTCGCTGGTCATATGGCAATGGCTGGAGAAGCTAATGCGGATGCTCCGGCTGCTAATGTACTTTCACTGATCTCAATCTTCATCTGATTTTTTTTAGAGGACATAACGCGGCCAACTTGATCTTGATGTACATGATAGCCGTTTGACGAGGTAGATCTATTACCTCTAGAACCTCTTCTAATTTGACCTTGATTTTGCTTTGCATCTTCATCAAACTTTATTTCGACTGTTGCAAATCAAGGCAATGTATCTCCAAACTGATGCATCACTTGATTTCGACTGTTGCTCATCACGCACCTACAACAATCAAACCAGACTCCTGCTGCGCTTTTTGCATTTTATCTTCCAGAAGTCTTTCATGGTCGTCATTCTCTGTTCGAAAGCGGACTATCTCCTAGTACTAGCTACGATTATCTGCCATCCTCAAGAACATCGCCACCAACGACGCAAGAAGCTCCTAGTAGTTCGAGTGCGACAACGAGTCCTCCTGAAGAAGGAGAAGAAGAAGATGCTGCACCAAAAAAGGGGTCATTGAAAGTTATGGGAGGTCACGACATTAACATTATATCATTAACAGGTATTGATTCTCATAATTGTTATCATTCATGATCGATCATCAGTTCATAATTTCTTCTGTGTCTTCCTGCTCTCGTAATTCTGGAGCTACTGAGTTGTATCTTTCTAGAGTAGAGACAGGAGATACTCTACTTGTACTTTTTTTCCATGATTATAGTACCCTACTTGTACTCAACTTGTACTCTACTTGTACTCTACTTGTAATCTACTTGTACTCAATATTTTGCTCGAGGACTAGCACATCAAGAGGCCGCTTCTAAGGACCGCAAAATGCTTCTAGAACTCGACGACTTCGAGGACACTACGGCAGAGCGCGTAGACAAACTGGAGGAAATTATGAATGTGGATACACAACCTTGCACCGAAGTCGAGCAAGCTATGGACCGACTACACCGCTTTCCGGTGACAAACGCGGTGATTGACTACCCACGAGAGGGGGGAAAAGTTCAGGTACTACTTCGAAATTAGACGACTCAGCTTTTCAGAAGATGTATAAGAAGTAGTGCCAACATGTTCTTGACCTACTACAGAAGTACCAACACAGGCAACGTGGTTTTACTTCATCTCTTTTCAATATTCACAGGTTGAGCCAGAAGTCGCATTATATTGCGACATCTTGTACAATACTGCGGTAACCAGTACAGTCCCCGACTCTGACAACCCACGTCATCTTATGATGAAGATTTGTCTGCTTTGGTCTTAGTTATAGGTATACTGCACTTCTCCAAGATCCTCAGTTGTACAAATACCTAGATGGTTCGTTGTGATACAAGAATCACTTTCAACTTAGCAGTATGATTAATACAGTTCTTTGACATTGACTTTTCTTCTTTCGGTTTTTGTTTTTCTAGTTCGGTCTGCTCCACCAAGAACTACATTAATACAGAAGTTCCATTGTGCAATTGACTTGCAACATTGACTTATACATCTCGTCTAATCTCCGTCAAGTTTTTGTGGAACGCCTCGTTCCAAGAAAAATTGCAGCCTTCAATGACTGTTCGATCCGACAGCTAGATGGCAGTACCAAATTATCCGAAAAGAAGAACTGGGGCCACGGCTCAAAAGGTATCAGTCTCGACTCTTTTCCACTCCTGAATCCAGAAAAGGACTTCTCCCCGGAAGGCATTGCTAGTCGGCTAGCTCTCACGAGTTACGTGAAACGAGATGGAAAGGTCTTCCCCTACACGCAGAGTGCGCCAGCAAGGAACTTATGAAAGGACGAAAAAGTGCGCTCACACTCAACGAAGTTGATTAAGAGGATTCAAGTAGGAAAGTAGCTCTAGGTTTCGTCGTGTTTTTTTGGCTCTTGAGTAGCCAATGAAGCTTGCTAGTTTTCTCTGGCGGGCCCGCAGCTACTTCCTTGACGAGTGTGAGAGTGAGTGCACTTTTTCCTTTCATAGAACTACTTGAGTTTTTACCAGCCTTTGCTTAACTGGATACGCGATCAAATGAACCACCAGAGCAGCGTCGACAAGTGGGAGGACATGAACCAATTGTTGTTATGGCGATGCCGATGGGCTTATCCTTTTTAAATCTAGTCCTACGTAGACGGACAAGAGGGATTGGACAAGATTGATCACTTTTATTCTAGTAGACTTCTTAAGTACTTTGAAAGAGCGTAAATATCATCTAGAAGTATGAGTTTCATCTCTCGTAGTTTTTGGTTCATCACCGTAAACATGATCGTGCATCTACAACCATTCATCGTCCTCTTGTTCCTCTAATTCCCGAAGCCTCCGACTATCCCATGAGTTGTTGGATCGCGCTTGGCGCTGGAGAATATACCGACTGGGGAATGAACAACTTTATAAAACCGAAGGACGAAACCGTAGTCATCGTGTATGACGAAGCTAAGTTTCCGGAAGGACCTCAACCAGATAGAGTGGCCCAACTCTTTGAAGATCATGGTCACGTCCAAGACAAAAGCCAAGGACTTGTCGCGTTGCATCAGACGTTTGTGCAAGAATAGTGGCGAGGAGATGTTAAAAACATGTTGTTCCAAGTTTGTAGGACACTCTCTGTATTGAGGAATAAGTGCATCTGTACTGAATAAGAAGCTCTTACTTAAAGCATCTTGAGGACCACTAGGAACTAGACGAGTCCTCACTATTTGGATCCTACAGCTCAAGCCTCGAACATATCTTGTAACTGTACGTATGGTAACCATCGTGGTGGACAATTAGAGTCGATATTTCTTGCTCATCAACTTCAACACTGATAAGATGAAGAGCATATTCATATTTATTGCTTATTGAAAACTACAACACCTGTATTTAATTTATACAATGTTGGACGAGCAAATAAAATGCTTCTGCTCATCAACATCTACTTGATTTTTTCTATGTCTAATCAGAACAGTAGGTAGATACATGTATATTCCTTCAATATTAACCAATGATAATGAACTGCTACAATGATAATGAAAACCATGACTGCATAGTACTAGACGAAGTGCCCACCTCACATCCTCGTCGTACAGGCGGGGCTCTTCTTGTGATCCCTGTTGTGTCGATAGTTGTTATGATGAAGTGCCATCAAAAAATGTAAATCTGTCATCTCCCTCAATCTTCGCGCGAAATGATACTAATATCCATATCGTCACGACCTGAATGATAGTTCTAAGAAACAAAGCACACATGATTATGCAACATCCAGATGAAAAAGCGGTGTAGTGAGAAACAGCGATCCCGTGGTGGACGAGGCCTGACGCCATTGCCAATTGTTCACTTGTTGGACCTTCCCCTTTTCTTGTCCGTTGCCTTCACAGACATGACTACCCAGTAGCAATAAAGCCAAGAAGTACTTATAAAAACAAAAGATCCCGCTATTGGTGTTGACCACAGACATGATCTTGCCCTCTAAAAGTGATCTTTTGTCGTGTACAACAGCTGTTTTTACATAGTGAAGAAGGTGAAGCAGGAAACCCTCCACATTAGTGATGAATCGGTTGAATAGTTAGACGTATCTTTATTGAGAGTAACTACTTACACCCAAGAGAGAGCGTCAGACTACGCCGACCTTACTTCATTCATATTCATACACTATCAATCCAATAAAGACCAAAAAGATGACAGATCCCAGCACTCTGGTTTCTGCTTGTGCTTCGCTAAATGCGGACGCTATCTTGAAGCATATTGCGGCTCCAGTATCTGGAAAAGAAGAGAATGGCACTCCAAAGACCACAACATCATTGAAGCGACCCGCTTCCTCCAGTGACGACACTTCTGAAGTAAGGTTTTCCAAGGCCGTGCTTGCATCGGACTGGAGACGAGCACTGTCAGGGCTTCTAGCCTTTGGACTAGAATTCCTAGAAGCACAGGGACAATCGTCTGACCTTCTTGTGGCGCCAGATATCTGTCGGAAAATGTAACACCTGTTATACTTAGACTTCGACTTTCTTAGACAAATGAAATGATGTACTTACAACTTGGGCTTTCTTATCAACAAGTGATGCTTCTGGTTCTGCAGGATTCTTGTTTCTTATAGTACAACAAAGGCGGATCATGATATCGTTCTCGTTTTACAACCTTCAACTTCATCTTGATTCCGTACACCTCCAACAGTGTCCGCTTCATCGTTCGCATCGGATGCCCCATTTGCGTCCACCTACGTCAAGCCTGTCGCTCGTCTTCTGATTCTAGAAATGGATCTGGATTTCTTTCCACAGAATCTGGATCTCTTTCCACAGATAGACTAGAGAATCTAGCAGAGTTTTACCGCCAAGAGTTCAGCCGCATACCAAATCAAAGCGAGGACCTTTCAGTGCATGCCGATCTCTGTGTGATGCTTGTGAAGGAGATGTTGTGGCTGTATCGAAAGCTGGGTAAGGAAGACCTCAGTCGTTTTGTACTGGAAAACCTGTGTCATCCGTACAAGAAACTGCAAAAACTGACGGTCAGTTTGAAGAAGAAGCCCTCAAGGGACTTCCCGAATGAAGAACAGCATGAACAAGCAGGAGGATCTTCATCATCCACAAACAGACCTACTTGTGTGACGACGGGAAGTGTATCAATTTGTGGCGGGGATTTGGCTCAAGAAGAAGAAGAAGAAGAGAAGCCGAAACTACCAGCAGACGCTGTTGAATCCCCTGCCTCAACTGCACCAGCTGCTCCAAAAACTACTATCAAAGGAGCGAAACCTAAACCCCAAGCAACGCCTGTCTCTACACTTCCTCCAGAACCGAATCTGTACTATCTCTCCCCTGAAATATCTTTTCCCTTCGCTGTGGAGTGGGGTCGAGTCCGGTTTACCCAGAACCGCGTCAGGGATGCTGAATCCAAACTGGCTTTCGCCCTACAGTACTTCGCACATGCTCACGATCTTGGTCCCTCCAATGCCGAAGCCAAGCCTCGTCCACTAGACTTGGCTCGAAGTTCTGCGGTGGAAGACAAATCCGCACAACGTCAGCTTCGTGTACTCCTACGGATGTACATTCCTGCAAGACTAGCCTGTGGACGAGCGTTTGAACCTGAGGCTATTAGTACTAGCAGTGGGGAAACTCCTTCTTCAACTACTACCTCTAGCGCTACAGCATCTACTTCAAGGTCTGGTAAAAATGCCCGATCATTTGAAGCAGACTATCAAGCTTGTCTCGACGCTGTAGACAAGCCCACACTCAATGAGCTTCGCAGACACTATGCGGCTTTCGCGACTGCTGTAGGAAATGGAGATCTGCAAGCATTTGACAGCTGCGTGGCTACTAGTCGTGAGTTTTTCTATAGACAGAAGGTGGACGTTCAGCTGCTGACGTCTGGACGAAAGTTGTGCTGGTGGAACCTTTGTCGCCAGACTTATTACCTAGTGAAAAACGCACCGTCGCTTGCAGGAAGTGCTGGCGCGCTGACTATAGCCAGCGGCAAAGGTATCAAGCTGGAGGCCTTTGACGTTGCGTTCAAAGTGAACGACCCTAAGCTCTTTGATGAGGACGTCATCTCCATCTTAGCGGAACTGACGGCGCAAAGAGCGCTCCGCTGCTACATCACATGGGAGAGGCAAGGCATAGTATTCGATGACAAAAAACCCTTTGCGACCATTGAGGAATGGTTGAAATAGTGGACCACTATAACTACAGCATCTTGATGTTGCGCCAACTGCGGAGAGGAAGGATGAACCAAAAAATATGCAACACGTTGTTCTTCTAGGATGTCAAGGGGCAGTAGGCGTCCTGAATCTAACATCGGACTCAGCGTCGATAGTTTATCTGTGTGGCCTCCAGTCATCTGTGAGTGTGCATATTTGATCTTACATCAAGTACTTCGGTTGAGAGAGACCGGCACTAGTACTACTTCTGTGAAGTTCAGCTACGAAAATGAAGCGATTCGTAACCCCTACGTCCTACGCAAAAATGGAACTGATTGCATGTACAACCAAAAAGAAATCGGAACCATACCAAAATGTTGCTCAAACATGTTTTGTCTTTAAAAAATAAGGAAAAAACGGCGTTGACGAAATGTGCTGCACAAGCAAAAATGAAATCGCAACTGAGGGATAGCTAGATTAGTGATCTCATCAACATCATAGATAGTTACTTTGTTGCAGTACAAACACGACTTTATTCTTGAGTTTCTTTCATTGGGGCTGAGTGTGTGAGCCACTGGGCCTGGGGATCACTAAAAATGCCACCAACTACAAGAGCGCTGTGGCTATTCCTCGGAGCAACTGCTGAGCATCGCTTCGTTGCTGCTCATGGCGGACACGACTATGAGGACAATGCCGATCACTCGAAGCAGCACAGCAAAGAGCTGATCACCTCCACTCGTAAGCTCTTCGGTCGTGAGGGCAAACTTGTCGCTAGCACGACAGGCAGCAAAAGAACGCGTCAACTGGCGAAAAAGAAGCAAAATGTTGTACAAGATCACGATCAAGAGGAGGTCGCGGATGACGCATTGGATCTCGAGTATCCTGTCGAACTGCGCTTCATCGGTAAGCATGAGCGTCGACTCGATGCGGAACAGAAGAATGTTATGTATGAGACTATAAAATTAAAAGCTCTTCTTTCATCAAAGTGAAATTGAAAGTGCAAGTAAAAAAAAGCTCTGCAAAGTCAAATTGAAAGTGCCTACTAACTAGTATTCCTTCGTCAGCAACAGCATCAAAATCTGATCGTAGGTTGTACTAATCATCTAGAAAAACTACGACCTAGAATAAGTACTTCTTTACACATGTTGATCGAAGCGATATCATCCGCTTCTAACCCCTTTCCCGCACAACAACATCCGCCGTTGCGCAAACATCACCTTCGCGAAGATTCGGATTTGCTCAATGTGGAGATGAGCGTCGGATCCCGCACGTTTGATGTGGTATTGCGCAAGAACCGCAACCTTCTGCCTGCGACCGCAAAGCACGTCATGCACTATGCTAACGGTCGGACAGTCGAAGAGCCGCTGGCGACAAGGAACTGCTACTATCAGGGGGATGCGGTGGAGAAAGGCTTATGGGGAGACGAAGCTTGAATGCTTCCCTAGAATACTCTATTTAAATACTATTAAAAATCCCCGAACACTCTTCGCCTTTAATGTGAACACTAAAGGACCTTTAAGACGCCTTTAATGTGAATGCTAAAGGATTCCCCTCCCCTTTAATGTGAACACTAAAGGACCCTTAAGGCGCCTTTAATGTAAACACTAAAGGACTCTTAAGGCGCCTTTAATGTAAACACTAAAGGACCC